TTCGAGTTGTTCCCGTCCTTGATTCAAGCCACCTTCCCCTCTTAAGGCTTGTTCTAATAGGGATGTCATCCGAGCCACATTCTCTTTCAGCAAGTCAAACTCTTACCGACCGATTACCTCCGAGTTGTGGTCTTTCTTCATTTTCCATTTAACGAGTCCGAAGTCAAGTGTTGTAGACGCGCGGAGGGGATTGAGTGGAGCGGCCTATGTTTACTTCACTAAAAATGCAAAAGAAATATATACAAATAAATACTTAATGCAAATGCACGATTTTGAAGTGGGCTGGATACCTTTCTTTATTTTGTTACACATTAAATCATGACGGAATCTCGTCGAAGATGGGTTAGACTAAGTTAGTACTCGCCGAAGGTAAAATTACCCCACGGATACTTGGGTGATTAGGGAGATATATATGCCCCCAATTTCGGTCGTGACTTGATTTTGAAATGATAAAACTACTCTTATTATAAGCACACGAAGGGCAAAACTCTTTTTTTTTTTTTTGCGGTCTCGACATGAAATTCAAGGGTAGACAATCTCTTTCATCATTTCGAGCCCGCTCAAATCCGATCTAAAATCCTCGACCTTATTTCGACTTTTTCAATCATGATTTAATACAAAGGATAAACTTCACTCGAAAATTATAAAAATACCCTTGGAATACCAAGGGTCGGTAATGATTCGTGTCTTAATTGGGTCAACCCTAATAGACAAGATCTAGCATTTCTATGGTTCGCCAAGCTTGACTAGTCCTAAAGATATTTTAAGTTTCTAGATCGTCTAAATTATCGGTAGGGTAATCCAACCTCTAACCTTATACACTAAAGGTAGGAAAAGGTTATTCCACCATTTTCGATGTATATGGTGAGTTTCGAGTCCAAATGAGAGTCTAAAAAAACATCGGTAGACTTTCTTCATAGTCGCCTCCATATTCCTCTATCTAAGTCCTATCGAGTTTAGCTCGGGTCCGGAGCTTTTATAGGTTTCCTTCATGGTGTGTGCAACGGAATAAACAAAAATATACAACCCAATTCAAAAAATGAACATGCCTTGAGAAAATAGAATGCAAAAAATAAATTACAAGAATGTAAATATGTACAACAAAATGAATTCGGAAAATAAAATGACAAAAAAAAATAAACATAGGAGATAAATAAAAAAACTAAACATATGGCCTAACCGTAGTACCTAGTGGAGTCGCCATTTTGTCGCTACCCAACGTCGGACGGGAATCCTCGAAAAATATCTAAAATTAGATTGGTTTTTACAAGTTTATTTATAGAGTTTGGAGTCGTCACCTAGTATTGAAGAAACTAGGAACCTAAAACGGACACTAGTTCGGAGATTTTATGGTAAGGAATTGGTTACGCTTTTGGAAAGATATCAATCACCCAAAAGCGTGCTTTCCAAATAAAGGTATCACATCCGGTTTAGCTCGAATTTATCTCCTAAAATATTTTATTTAAGTCAAATTATTTTCCGATTTTTAATCTCCCATTTTTTTTTTTTTACAAATTGAATTTTTTAGTTTTGGGCATGGCATCGTATTGAAACGATCGTTGGTCCCCTTTGTCGAACGACATGTCGATTCAAACATCGGATTCACTTTAAGCCTTGACACAACCAACTTGTCGGAGGACATCTTGCTTAAACAATGATTTTTTTTATGACGCCGATCCCTATCAAATAGGAGACTTCGTCAAAAATTTTAGACATAATTTTTATTTCTTTATTTTTTTAAAAAAATCTAAGATTTTAATTAAATGAAATCAACTAAAATAAATTTTGAGAAATTAAATATATTGAAATCACCATCCGTCCCTAATAAACAAGAGACTCGTTGATCCAATATTTTAATCATATAAAAAAATCACATATTAAAATAAATTTCACAACTAAATATCTCTAGATTTTCGGACATGCATAAGACAAAAAATTATTACAAAACACCTAAAAAAATAAAAAACAAACGAGTCCAAAATCCATATTTATCAAAATTACAAAAATGCCCCTGGAATACCAAAGGCCACTGCCAAGTGACCATTCGTCTTTCGGTGACCCCCCGGCGCATGGACCACCCCACCTTGTAGATCCGGTCACGGGAGTCCAACGATGGTGGTTTCATCCGGAGAAGACGTCGGAGGAGGGAGATCGGAGTCTCCAAAAGTCCGTTCGGATCTCCCTTCTTCACCGGCGATGAATCCGACCTCCTCTCGGGATTCTAAGCACACCGGTTGACTCGAGAGGTCGAGAGAGAGAGGTCCGTGGTGGTTAGGACCTTCAACACCTTCTAGATTGACCAATTTTATCGGGTTTATCAAAACGGGTCGAGTCCAATTAAATCGTTTTTCGGTGTCTTTGGGTCGAGATTTTTAAATGGAAACACTTGGGGAGACCGACAATCGGATATGTGGCGTTAGATCTCGTGTTGGTGGCCGGAGTTGAGAGAAATAACCGGGTCTAGTTGGGGGTTGGGTCGAGGACGCTTGATCTTTGATTTCTCTCACCTCCGTGATCGGTTCTCTCTTTAACCGGTGTGGATAGGCCGATCTAGTGATGAGCTACACGTGGGTGGTTTTATTGGGGTTAAATCTGATCGGAAAACAATCAATCGAGGCTCGAAAAACTTTCGGTTCGATAAACGGGTAATCGGGTCCGGTTTGATGGGTTATGGCGTGTTTGGCTCTTTTTTTTTTTTTTTAGTGTTTTTTTCTTTGGCCCTCTAGTTGCCCCCTTTTTGTTTTTTTTTGGTCCCCCCTTACAAATCGAAATCCCAAAACTTTTTATAAGCCAAAACCTCCTAAAATCTCTCCCAAAATCAATTCAAATTCAAATTTTAATTGTCAAATCTTAATTTTGAGATTTGATTAGCTAAAAATAAGGAGATTCCAATTCAAAAAGATTTGTGGAAGATTTCAACAGATTTTTGAGTGATTTTAAGGAGATTTAATATTTTTATATATTTTTTCCTTTTTTGTTTTTTTTTTCCTTTAAAGGAACCCAAAATTGGGTTATGACATAGTGCAAAACATACATTGATTATTATTTTTAGGAGCTATATGTATATATAGGTATTGTGTCACCTAACTACTAACTATAAAATATTAAAATAATTTAATTTGATATCTCTAATTTTTATTTAAGTGTACTCAAATTTTATTTTATATGTTTTGAAAATCAAAGGGATCAATTTAATTATAAAAAATACATATTTTAAATATCAAATACGTTATATTTAAATAAATATTTAAGTTTATAAATATTTTTTAAAAAAAAGTACTTTTAGATGATTGCATAAGAAAAACTAGGAGTCGTAAGTTCATGTTTGTGGATGAGTACTGGATAATGATGCACTGCAATAACAAAGAAAAAACACGCCAATTATTGAAAAATCATAACCCAAAAAGTGGGGTAATTGTTAATTAATAGCTAATCATTGTTGAAATCTGCTCGTAATGATCACTGTATATATCTCTTTTGTTTCCTGCCAGGGTTAAGGAAATTGTTATACGAAACCTATTCATGTGGAAGAACATTTAATAATCTCTAGCTAATCCCTTATGAAATTTAATTGCAAGAACTTCTTGTTACCTCATTCTGCTTCTGTGTAACCCAGGAAGTTCTTAATGGCCTTGAAAAATTTTTGCTCTGCATAAAATTCAAGATCAAGAAGTAAGAGTAAATTATAAGTTAGTTGGAAAAATAATTTAATTTTTTTAAATTTTAATTGATCATATTTAATTTAATAATACTTTATTTTATAAACTTTTTTTTCTTCATCAATTATTCCATATTTTTTATCTTTTACATTTAAAAAAAATCAAAATAAATTAAATAATTAAATAATTATTTTTTTAAATAAAAAATTAATTAATTCGTTTCTTAAAACTAAATAGATTAATCTATTATTTATAATGGCAGAAAAAGAAAGACAGAATATTAGGGACAGTATTGAGATTAGCTATTGTTGTTAAAGAGGAAGGAGTTGGGTGGTATTTCACGTGGGAGCATAAAATGCCAAAAAAAAAAAAAAAAAAGGAAAAAGAATGCAGAAGTAGCTTAAATTGGTCAACGCTCAACAGATAAAGTAGATTGTGGATAGCAACCTGTCAGACAAGACAGGAATCACAGGAGTGCTAGATTATATGCCTGAATTATGCATGGAAATAAAAGGATGAGTAAATTATAAATTAGTCCTTCTAGTTTTAAGAAACCAATTAATTAGTATTTTTTTAAAAAAATTAATTATTTAGACTTTTTTCTTGTAACTAAATCATTTTCGTTTCTTTTCAATTTATTTTAATTTTTTATATAAAAATAAAAAATAAGTAGAAAATCTGAAAATTTTGATGAAAAAAATAATATTTTTTAAAATAAAGTGATACAGACTTTAACGTGATAAACATTGATGAATGAGCACAAAAGAGATTGTAACACTTTAATAATGGTCTTTCACAATAAAAGGTCATTGATTCAAATTCTAAGAGACTATTTCTGTTACAAGTTTTGAATATATGAGTTAAAAAAAATACACCGGTCAATGAATTAAATAATTAATTTTAAAAAAAACTAATTAATTTTGTTTTTTAAATACAGGTTCTAATTTATAATTTACTTATAAAAGGATTTGTGATTAAAAAAAAAATTGAGAGAGAGAGAGAGAGAGATTGTATATTTATATACTTGTCCCCAAAAAAAAGTGGCTTGTCCCTGCCAGCTCTTTACAGGCTCCTAACTTTGACCTCATTACTCTCTTTACTAGCTGCTTTACCTCCTCCCTCAATTTTTCTCTCAGCCTCTGAAATGTCGTGGTCTAAGGCAAAATGCGACATGTCCTTTTCAGAAATAAGATTCTCTTCTCTATACTGTAAAAACTAGCATTTTGTTTCTTTAAAAGAAAAATTTTCAAAATAAAAGATGGGAGTGAAGCTACTGGGAATCCTAGCCCTGCTTCCTAAGAAGAGACCCTACAAGATTTCGCATCACAAATAGATAAACCGATGGAGATATGCAAGGAAAGCAGGCAATGGCCCCAGGCCGGCCAGCCCTGTATTGAATATTCACTTATTGATGCCATCAGAATACCAATCACAGATCAAACTTCCCACATTCCTAGGACCCTATATTGGATCAAAGAGAGTGCGAACAGGGAAAGTTCTCTGCAAGGAAAGGAAGTGAATAACAATGCATATATATCCAACAAGGGAGTGATGGTGGGGCTTCTTTCAAAGAAGAATCCAAACTCCTAACCCTTCACGTCTGGTACAAAGGCCCTGGAAATATGGATCGATTTGCTTTCCCTTTTGCTTTGTGTTCCCTACACCACAAGGAATGACACGAAAGAGGGATTTGGGTATTTTTCTAAAGAGGCGCAAGACGTAATTTTTAAGTTTAGAAAACATGCATGATTGATTTGGACAGCCACCCCAGTCATTTAACTCTCATAAATTTCATGGTTGAATTTCACCTAATTATCTCAAGGACAAAGCCCCATTTGAACTATGATTGCATTGATGAGTAATTCCAAGTCCAAAATCCATTACATCTAGGAGTTACAACTCCTTGAAAAACTGTCTACAAGCAGTTTTATTAATAAGTTTGTTTCAAAAATTAAAAATTAAAAAAACTAGCCAAGTTCCCTCTCTACAATGATTTTGGAATTTGAGCGTTTAATGTCATTATTTGTAAATAAAAAAAAATGGATTCAAATTTAATTTGTTTGTATAAAAAAAATCGGCTGAAATTACCAAAATTTGAATTTTTTAAAAGGGATTTTTATTTAATATTAGCAGTCAAATTAAACGAAAAGATAATATTTTACCAAAATATGATAGTTTAAAGTTAAATTTGACCAAATTAATAATATAAGTTTCACTTTACTCTAACCCTAATGATTCTGGGGCAAAAAATATCATTAATCCAGGTGCATGGCATCTCAGAATAAGGCACATTTTCAAATACCTTTGTATGGCATTAAAACAAACAACAGAATTGTACTTGGAAGGACAATCTTAAAAAATAAATACAGCAACAACTTAAATAAATATCCCAACTTTAAAATACAATGAAGAATCTCCATACTCCAATTCAATGTTATGTACCAAACCTGTACAATTGGCAAGTCAACAAGGATTTGAAGGCCTACAATGCTCCCCTACCTTCTTTTGCTTTTGAAGTTCCACATCAACATCGTTGAAATTTGACGAATCATCAACATTGTCTTGAATTTTTCATGACAAAAACATTGACATGACAACCACCATCCTTTCTCTTTAATCTTGCATTGCTCACTTGCTTTCTATTGATGGTTTACATTTATGTTTTCCAAACACGACGAGCCATCATTAACTTGAGTTGAATTTTTCTTGTCCATAGCTTTAACACTCAACGTCACCATTCTTCACTGTCATTAAATGCATTATTGCCTCCTTTAACGCCACAGTTTGTATAGGTTGCAATCTTGGCATATGAGAAGAACCTCTTAGAAGGTCCATAAGATATTGAACCATTCATGAGACTCTTAGCGTAATCATAAATCTCATGTTGATTCGCAGGTCCATAAAAACTAACCGGTGTAGCACGGGGATAATATGCAAGATAATTGTTAACAAAGTAACATTGATGGCACTTGTCCATGGCTCAATTCATACTATGTTGTGTTAGATATTTAAAATTCAATTCAATTCAAAAAATTTAAGTTGGTTATCTAACACTTTCGATGTAAAATAAGTTCTCTGATGCTCTTTCCTTACTTATGGCTTGTTTTTGGGAATATGTGAAATAGATTATACTTTAAAATATTATCCGAACTTATGAATCTCTTTAAAGTTCTAATATCATATTAAGTAAAATAGTTAAAAACAAATTCTATCTAAAAAATTAAACCTTGTAATGTATTACTCATTTTTAAGTTTATATATTACTCATTAACTCGCTTATTTATTTAATGTGAGATAAGTTTTTTAACACTCATTTAGGATCATTGCTAGATTGTTGAATTTTTTTGAAGTTCCTGGATACGCCCATGTGTATGTGTGTGTGTGATTTCATCATCTTTCTTAATTTTAGAAACCCATGGTGGCCTCATGAGATTCCTTAATTATTTTTAAAATTGTGAGCAATATTAATTCTTCGTTAATTAGTAGCATTAGGTTTATTGTATGCAATTAATGTCTTGATTATCGTCATGTTCTAGGTCTGAAATTCATGGCTGAACTTTAATGAGACCCGACATTAAATTAACGAGACTCCTAAGCTTAAGGTTCAACATCAATTTAATAAGATTCTACCGTAAATAACCTTGTGTGTGCGTGATCTTAGGGTCCGATGATAATTTAATATAATTTTACAACAAATTTTTTATTAAATGCGTGTGTGTGTGATCCAACCGTAATTTAACGAAATTCCATTAAAAAAAAATTAATTTTACAACAAATTAATCTTAAGGTCCGACATTAATTTAATAAGATTCTACAATAAATTTTAATCAACACTCGTGTGTGTGATCTTAGGGTCCGATGACAATTTAATGTAATTTTACAACAAATTTTTTATTAAATGTGTGTGTGTGATTCGACGGTAATTTAACGAACTTCCATAAAAAAAAATTATTTTTACAACAAATTAATCTCAAGGTTTGACATTAATTCAATAAGATTCTACAATAAATTTTAATTAACCGTGTGTGTGTGATCTTAGGGTCCGACGACAATTTAATATAATTTTACAACAAATTTTTTTATTAAATGTGTGTGTGTGATCCGAAGGTAATTTAACGAAATTCCATAAAAAAAAAAATTAATTAACTATGTGTGTGTGAGAAATTTATAAATTATCTTCTTAATAAATATTTACTTTTTATTTTATATTATTAGTCTATGTCCAAAAAAATAAAATAATAACTTATAAAGAATTAACTAAGGATTCATAATTTGATGAATTTTTGATGTAATTTAATTATTATTTTTATTTTAAAACTTCATGCTTTTTATTCGCTTGCCTTTTAGATTTTTTAGATTTTTAATTGTCAAAATAAAATATAAATATAGTACTACATAGTTTATGAGTGATTTAAGTAGGTTGTTTTATGTTATTTAGGGTTTTATGTAGTGTAATTTAAGTATTTTTGGATTTTAAAACTTCATGTTTTTTATTGAATTGTTTTTAATATTTTTTAGAGTTTTAATAGTCAAAATAAAATATCAACATAGTGCTATATAGTTTATAAATGATTTAAGTAGCTTGTTTTATGTAGTATACAAATAAAAAAATAATGAAAAAACGAGATTAACCTATATTTTAGCATTCGAAATAGAAAATAACTTATTTTTTAGGACCTAATAATTTTTTTAACAGTTTTAGCAATATTGGTGTTTATTTATTTTAACTAGAAGTGGGATTGAATTTACTTATTACTATTCATAATATGTTATAAAATTAGCACTGTATTAAAGGTATAATATTCAATCAAAATTTTTTTAAGGATTTTATGCTTTTATATTTAGTTGTGGATTATTTATTTGAGTTAAAGGTTTCGGTTTTATCACACTAAAATATTTGGACGACCTCAACTTGATTCTTGTGATATTCAAATATGGGTCTGCAGTTTTGGAAAAATAGCAACTAGACATCTAAAACTTCTACGAAGTCCAACAATAAGCCCAATAAATCACAGCCCAGAATGGAATAAGAATAATATGTAGCCCGATCCATACATGCCATTCCATTTCGGAACTTGGAGACATTTTTTGTTTTTTGAAAACCTAAACTCAGTCCTAAACTTATGTACTCATTTCAACTGAGTTCCAATAATATTAACTTTATCAAAAATTCTTTCAAATCAACACCATTTTAGTGCATAAAATTTGCAGATTAGACAAACTATTAAAAGAAATTGACAGAATAAAAAGAAATGTAGAAATTGATAAAATTAATAGTTTTTTTTTTTTTTATGCATTTTTTATGATGCACGTAGAATCATGCAGATAGCATCTGTTTTTGCTTGGACTCGTCAAATCAATTCCATCTCTAGCTGGGGAGAGCAGCAACAATATTTTAAAGCATGTATACCAAACCTTAGTCCAAGCACTTGATGCTTTTCCATTCACTCGATTCAATTGATCACAAACTATTATAGACCACTACAAGACTTGCTGATGAAGATGGCTATAATCGAGCGAATCCTATATGCTCATTATATTAATTTCGAAATGCACGATGATAGGTTTAGCTTTTTTCTTTTCTTTTCTGTTCTCTTTTCTGAGAAGTTCTAGCAAGAACAAATTGGAATCAAGCAATCAATGCATGATAATCTTGTTCAGAACAAGTTATTTTCCAGAGTTGTTCATCAATCCGAGAAATTTTGTCCCATACATTTTTCATAACATTTTGCAAAATTAAGATTTTTCAAAGATAATAGAATATTTACAATCACATCATAGTATTCACACACACACACACACATGTATATCAAGACAGCTAGTATATTAATTGTCTATTATAGCAATCACTATTTTACAAGACTAAATTTTTGTCCAAGTGTTTGTGATCTCTACATAGAAACAGATTTACACAGTCAATACAGGCAAGCTACGATGACTAAATTTTACAGGCAATATACGGTCATGCCAGACTTCCTGATGTGAAATTGAAAACCAAAATATTTTTGCCAATATTACATGGCAGCAGATAGAAAAGCACATACGCAACTAACCAGTGAAAGATTGATAATCGCTATGTAGTGAACCTTCATGAAACTGGAACTTTGCAGCAGATCTCAAAGATGTTATCTAATGGGGCATGATCACCTGTCCCTTCATCTTTCCTGGCAAACAACAACTGCTTTCCTTTGAAGACAAACATTCCTCCCTGAGAACAACAAAACAGAAGTTGATGGACTGAAAGCAAGGGCAGAACAAACATTCATAAACAGCTCAGCCAGCATGTATATTTGATAAATGAACCAAGCTTGAGATTGGTTTTAGTATATCATCAATAGAATTACGGTGAGATTTTTGGCATCCATATGGTGTATTAGCCAAGATGTATGGTACTAGGCTTATATATGAATGAGGTATAGCTTCTGATGCCAGCTTAGAAGCATTCGGTAATAAAAAATGGCAGTTGGTTCTGGCCTAATGCTAGATCAGAGGCAATGATTGAGATGCAAACATCTGTGTGGTGTCATCTATCCTGATATCGCAGTACAAGATAAAGTGGAAGGCTAGCCCAAATGGGGTTTTCACAACGAGGAGAGCTTGGTAATTCGTGAGTAAAGAAGCCAGAGTTGATTGGCATAAACTGATGTGGGAGCCTCTCAGTGTTCCCAGGCATAGTTTCATATCCTGGCTTGCTGTACTCAATAGGCTCACAACAAGGGTAAGGCAAGCTCGCATGGGCAGAAATATCAGTGTGGATTGCCTGTTATGTGGTATGCTGATTTTGATCGCAATCACTTATTTTTTGAGTGTGCCTATTCCAAAACTATACGGACTGCCGTTATACTGAAGTGTGGTTTCAATAGAGCTGTGGGGGGTTGGAATTTAGAATTTCAGTGACCAAAGTAGCAGTTGCAGAAGAAATCCTTTCGATCTACTATTGCCAGGCTAGCTTGGAGTGCAGTCATCTATTGAATTTAGATTAGAAACAAAGGAATCGTAGAGTCCATGTTAATGGTGCACAATCTCCTGATGATGAAGTTAAATGGATTTTTCAGGTTATAAGTGTAGAATGCATAATACGAAATTGTTAGAAGAAATAGATGCAATGCAAAAAAAATAGTTTCCCTGTAATTTGTATCAGTGGCTAGTGGGTTCTTGCTTTTGTAGTAGGGTAAGCTATAGTTTCTTTTGATAAATGAAAATTATTTCTTCATCAAAAAAAGAAAAAAATATCCTCTTGTTTCTTGAACCAAATAATCAATACATATTTTAGCAGCAACAATAGAACATTAAGGACGATAAGTTTCACTGATTATAAACCACAATGATCATCATGTAAGTTTTAGAAACATGAAGGAATGTTTGAACACACTTAACACTTTAGGAAAAAGAATGCGCTACCCTACTCTTAACCAACCAAGCTTGAACAACTATAGCTTGGCACTGCTAGGGCCATCATGTCAGCTTGTTTGCAACCCAATCAAGGGAAGACCAATTACAACACCTACAGGTAAATTATAGCGAACAATTCTTCATCACTAGACAGTAGACAAGAATAAATCAAACCTGTTGCAGTACACCACTTCTATCATCTGGGGTGGCTTCGATGGTGTAGTTTTTCACAGCTTGACGCAGAGCATCAAATCTTGTTAACACCTTAGCCTATAACAAAAACATAAAAAATGATGGATGCTGCAAATAAAGACACGCTCCAAAAAGACTTCTACAGAAAGCATAAAAAGGAAGTTTACGCTAGCTGGATTGAAGAATGTACGTCCAAAACCATAGTACAGGCCCAAGACATCATAAGCCTGAAATATGATGAGTGTCCTTCAGTGTCTACCAACACAAACTGAAATATATAACAAGTGGATGCAGGATTTGAGTATATATTATTACCTTGCGCTCAGGATCAGCATAAAGGCAGTCCATCGGAAATGGTAACTGATCATATATCATCAATGAGAGAAATTAATCAGTTAAAACAATGCCTCTAAGAAAAACAGCCCATGGTGTGGGAAAAGAAAAACAAATGAAGAAATGCAATGATGGCTGGGACTTTCCTAGAAAAATTGTTGATGATGGAAATTATTCAACACTCCCACAGTATGTTAACAGCCCGTCACGTGCAAGTGGGACCCGCCATAATAACAGACAGTGCACCCCATTCGTGTGCGAAAGAAAAGAAGCATCTCCTGGTGTATTGAATAATTGTTCATTGATGATATATGGTACAGTTAAGAAATGTAAGCATCTCCAGTCTTAGGAAACATGGCTACAGAAGATGCTTTACTGCAAGCTTTAGAGCAGAAAGCAATAAGCCAAATCAAACAACAAAAATCACAAATATTTTCTAGTAGAAACTTTACAAATCGAGGTTCTTATGATATGAATTAGATGTAACACGTGTTTAAGTGCTTCCAATTTCCAGGAACTACAACATTTTTAAAAAAAGAAATGATTATTGAAGGCAGGTTTATAAATATGTCGGCACAATCTCAGAGTTTCTTTTTCCTTTTTTGTGTTACGATTCTTGCCATTGTTGCAAGAAAACAACATGACACAAAACTACAACATCCGAAATTGAGAAAATCCAAGTGTCCAAGAATCCATTAAAAGCTGAACTCAATCGAACATTTCATATTTTTCAAGACATGCTTATTCAAACAAATGGATCCAGGAAACCCAACAATGGCGCCATCTTAACGAATGCTGGCTGCCAAATGAATATCAAATCCTGTTCCAAAACATACATAAACTAAAATCAAATGGATAATTCAAAACATACCCGGTCAGCCAGCATCCGCGCCTTATCAGGAGTACCAACACCAATTGCAATTAGCTTGACGCCAGCTGAATCAAATTTTTCTTTCGATTCCTTTAAAGCGGAAGCAAGTTCCCAACTTCATTATGAAAAACAAAGCACACAAAAAAAAATGTTAATAACAAAACGATTTTCCAATAATAAGCAATAGCTAGCAAGATTAATTACTGACCAGCAAGGACATCCAAAGTGTCTCAAAAGCGCAACAACAGCCATTCCCTGCAATCCATACCAAATTAAACTTCAAAAAAAAAAAAAAAAAAAAAAAAACAAACTGGAACACACAACTAGAAGATTAATTTTTTTTAAAAAAAAACCTCGTTTTGGTCCCAAAGATCCTTAAACATGACAGGTTCACCAGCAGCAGTAAAAATGGTAACATCACTAAGGATTTCACCGGTGTCTGGGGTGTAATTGGATGCAGAGGCTCCCGTTATGAGGCGCGATGATTTATTGGTACTGCGGGTAGTGATATGAGTATGGGGTGCTCTTTTAGGAGAGAAAAGACTGGTTGTGCTTACTGGGTGAAATTGGGCTGGAAATTTTGGAGATGAAAAACAGGCAGGTGAGGAAGATTGTAGTTGTAGTAGTCGCAATGATTTTGGAGATACCATCGCCATGCTGCTAACTGGTTTTCTCAGCGCAGGTGTAATCGTAAATAGCCAAACTGTTTGGTTTACAAACCACAAACTTTTGGGATGATTGCTGAAAAGTTTGCTTCCATTTTTATTTTTTCTTACCATTTTAATGCATTGTTGTTAGAAAGGAAATTTAGTCACCACAAGTTCATAATCAATTAATTAATTCATCTTATTTTAAAAATTAATTATTTAATCTTTAAACTAATATTAAATACAATTAATCTAATATTATTTTATTTAATAAAATATCATCTTTTATCGTCAATCCTTCTATATATTTTTTTCTATTTCTAAAAAAATAAAAAAAATAATTAAGTTTTAAGCAAATTTTAAAATAAAAGAATTAAATGTTTAATTTTTTAAATAAAAAATATTAATGAATTAATTTTTTAAAATAAGAGAGACTAATTTATAATTTACTCTATTTCTAATGCATTATTGTTCTAAAATTTAATCACCTTGGTAATCAAGTCTTGTCATTAGTTTTTTTTAAAGATATTTGTATCTACTTTCAATTAATTATATTCCAACTAGGAGAGAGATCATAAACTTAATATCCTAGAATACATGTGTTGAAAATAAACATTAAAAGGAGAAATATTTATTGAATAATGCAATAAAAATAACTTTTTTATACAAAATTCTGATACAAAACTATATAGTAGTTAATTTTTTATCAACTATTTACTATCATAGGATCACACTTTTCAAATTCATAAAAAGAAAAATCAGTACAAAATACGGAAGGATTATAAAAAATATTTTTTAAAAAAATATTAAATTAAACGTAGTTAACATTCTCCAAATGACTAAATAATTAATTTTAAAAATAAGAAAGACTAATGAATTCATTTCTTAAAAATAAAGGGATTAATTTATAATTTACTCAAGAAAAAAGATGGCACTATCCTTATGGCTTCATTTGTTAATCCTATTCTCCTAGCATTACAAGAGGTGACTATATTAACTTTTATTTAGAGATGTTCTTATGTATATAATTTGAATATTATCAACTCCATAAACACTATAATTTACAAGTAAAATTCTTAATTTATAATATTTTTGTGATAATGATTAATACATAGACCACCTTGTATACGATATAATATAAGTATTTTTAACAATATTATTTAAGTGACAATAGTAATGTTTAGTTAACTGAGTAATATTTGACACAAAAAGAAATAATATTTTCATATTAAATTATATAAGAAAATTAATTTTAAAGCACTTTTCATCAATGAGAGATATATTTATTTAAAATTTAAAATAATACATATTTTATTTCAATTTCCAGGATAGATAAAAAAAATGTTGTCCCTAAAAGTTAATGAACATTAATATTTTTAGTCTGATGTGTATATTTTATCCACTAAAACAACATCAATTTTAAAAAAAATGAATATTTATAGAAAGACATGATTGAGAATCTTATGAAATGTTTGGAATCAAATTGATAAAATTAATAGATTAGGTACTCGATTGATAATAGATATATAGGTTTGGGACTCCCAGAAAAAAATTCAAAGACTTTTGGAAGAGAGATGTGTTCTCACAAGTGTTGATGGGTGGTTGCCACTTTGTCTTGAAATGCCTTCTTTGTTTTTTTCTATTTAAGACTACAAGAAAACCCAATAACATGGACGCACTTTTCTGTCGCTAAATCATTAATATTTATCATTATTTACTCTTAATGACGGATTTGAACATAACAATATGTTTCAAGTGTGCTGGTCTATTAATTTTAACATCTTATCTTGAAGGTTATCATTTTTGTCATTTTTAATGTTTTATTTCCTTAATTATATCATTTTAGGTGAGCAAAATGTTTGGTTTACAAATTTGGAATGGTTGTTGAAAAGTTTGCTTGTTTTTTATGATTTTTTATGGCAGTTCTAATGCATTATTGTTAGAAATGAAATTTAGTCACCACATGTTCGTAATCAATTAATTAATTCATCTTACTTCAAAAATTAATTATTTATTTTTTTATCAATTTTAAATATACTTAATTTAATATTATTCTATTTGATAAAATATTATTTTTTATCATCAATCCTTCCATATTTTTTTTATTTCTTAAAAAAAAATCAAAATAAATTAAAAAAATAAAAATGATTAAAATACAAGAAAATTTTTAAATATAAAAACTAAATAATTAAATTTTAAAATAAGAAAGATGATTTTTTTTTTAACTTGCAAGGCTAATTATAATTTACTCTATTGGTTTATAATCGACTAATTTTGTTATTAGTTTTTTTTTAATGAAAAACCAATCATTTATTATTATGGAATTCATACTTTATAAATTGATAAAAATATATACCTATTTTTTAAAAGGGGAAAAGAAAAAAAAACTTTACAAATTGATAAAGAGAAAAGGAAAAGGAAAACTTAACAGAAAGAGCGTGGCTAGAAATGGAAATTTTCTTTGTGTGGCGAGAGGAATTAGAGGAATGCTTGTGTGGTGGGCCTTGTGGCTTTCATTTGAAAGATCATTTAGTTTGGACCCTCAGACCCAATATGAAAGGGCAGAGGTTTTTTTTTCGAAGTTCAGTCGCTCCTCTAAGTTGAACCATAGAGCAGGAAAACTGGCCTTTTAAAGTAACCCAAAAAAAAAAAAAGTTGAGTAACATAATCTTTATGTTCTAGTTTACACTAGATTTTTTACACGTAATATGCTGCGGATCGAATAAAATACATAAAATTATTTTATTTTAATATCTCATGTTATATTATGTGTTTACCAAAATCAATCAAATTTTGTATTTGATCGGTTATTCTTTATATTTTTCATAATTTTTTTATCAAAAAAATTATTTAATAGTATAAAGAATGTCAAAACCAATAGATTCTTAGCTAAAAATTTGTTTTGTAATGTTTTTAAACATTTTTTTGCTTTAAAATTTTTTATTAAAAAAATTAGAGAAAAAAGGACCAAATTGACAAAAACGAAACAAAAAAGAAAGACCAAAATCAAATAAAAAATATTTTGTGGATTGAAAAAATCACATTTAAAAAATGAGGACCAGAGTGCAATGTTAGAAAAATTTTCATAATAAATGTATTAAAAATATTTGAAAACTACAAAAATATCATTACATAGTGAAATGAATAATGCATTTGAATCGGAATGAACAAGTGAAATGAATAATGCATTTTAATCGAAATGAACGAGTGAAATGAATCTGAATGAATAGTAAAATCAATTATTTTACTTTAATTTTATCTATAACATCTAGGAATTTGAAAAGTACAAATGATAGAGAAATAAAAAAATACTATAAAATAAAAAAATGACAAAAATGAGGTGTAATTCCATTAGGTTTTATTGGTTTAGGTATCAAGATAACATTAAATACTACAATATTATAATATTTAAAAACTAACTAAAATAATTAAAACAAAACAAAAATCATTGTTCACACATTTGTGGATCGTCTTTGTTTTTGTTATTCATTCACTGTACATTATCTCTAAAATTACTATTTGTTTACTGTGCTTGCCATTGTTTCTCCAACATATATACTTTGGTCTCTCTTTTTGTTTCAATTTGTAATTTTATTTTTCATTTATTTTAATCCATGCATGCTAAGAGAAGCGAGAAACAAGAGAGAGAGAGAGACGATGAAGCCTATTCCAGCTATCTCAACAATCAAACTAACTATCATTTGGTTTGCGTCAAAAAGCAGAATCCATTTGTGGTAGTGGTAAGCGATGAAATGGTCAAAAAAATGTATATTGGAATCCAAAAATATTTTAAATTTTTTTATTTTGATTTGAATTTTTGTGTATATTAAAATAATTTTTGATGTTCTAAAAGAGTTTATTGATGTTATTCTGTATTTTTTAGGTATTTTTAGACAAAAATATGGTTGAATTTAGTTTATGGAGGCCAAAAATGATAAAACCCAACTTGCCAGTGACTTTTTCGACAAATAGATGTCGCTCGAAATTGCAAAGGTCGCCGGATTAAAAGCAGCTAGTTTTGCTTCTGCTTCTTTTTGGTCTAGGATGGTACAGGCCTGGTTCTCTAAGACCAAGGGCACGGGCTTGATCTTTTTTTTTCTTTTCTTTTCTTTAATTTTTTTAAATTAAAAATTTGTAGGCAAAAGTTATGGAACATAGGATGTTATTATTTATGTTTTTTACGTAATATATATATATACTATTTTTTATATTTTAAAATTAAAATATATTTTAGATTATATTATTTTTATTATTTAAATTTATTTTTTGAATTAGTCATTTATTATGAAAATTCTCATCCAATTAATGTTTTTAACATAAGATTTTATTTACTGATAAATATGATTTATTTTTCTCTATATTTTGTATTTTAAAATAAAATTTTAAAACATGATTGTTTTACCTTTAAAAAAAATCATATAATATATAACACGAATTCTTAGAATTTTTAAATAATAAATGATGTGCGTGTGTGTGTGTGTGTGGTTAAAGGTGTATTTAAGATAATTTGTCTCGGTTCATTATACATGATCAAAATGTATTAAAAAAAACTATTGAATTGTCGATTTTATTAAAAATTAACTACACATTTTCACTTATAACACCAACTATTTGTTATCAATTTTTTTTTTTAATATTACATATCTATTTTTTAAAGGAAGCACCCGAGTTATTCAAATATAGTTTTTATCCTACATGATTAATTAGTTTGTAAATAAAAATATATAGATCAAATACAAGTATTTTAAAAAAATAATCTTCCCATCAGCATTAAATAAGAATAAAAATTTCTTTTTTACTAGTTAATTTTCATACAAATCTATACATTAATTATAACTTTATTTATTTTTTAATGCATTCTTTGAAAATTATATTTTTAAAGTATTTTTAATTCTTAATTAATATTTTATTTTAAATCATTATAAGTTTTTATTTAAAAATTTATACATAAAGAAAAATAAATTTTGTTTTTTTTAAATAAAAAATTTACGAAAAACACAAAAAAAACAATTATAAAAATTTTAAACTAATTTTATTTCATCAAATCCGTAGCGTAGTGCAGCTAATTTCAAACTATAGCATAAAGAGAATATTAATAAATGTAAACAGAAAAAAAAATGAAGTTTGACCAAACGGAAATTAGACTTGCATAAGAAAGGCTAAACGGTAAATGCTGTATCAATGATATAATAATTTTTTGTTAGGCCCTTCCTTGTCCATTACTTGTCTATGCATTAGACGTGTCATGTCATGAGTTGGTGTTTACTCTTTACATACAACTGTCATTATTAACACACAAGTTATAAATGAGTGAGCTTCCCGGCAATGAAATTAATGGAAAGGGACTGCATGGTCCCCGGACGAGTATAAATTAGTACTTGTAGTTTTGCGAAATAAATTATTGGGTTTTTTTTTTAAAAAAAATTTTTTTTGAATCTTAATTATTTTCGCTATTTTTTTTAATTTATTTAGTTTTTTTGGAAGAAAAACTTAAAATATGGAAGGATTAATGAAAAAAGGACATCTTATTAAATAAAAAATAATCAATACTGATTAAATAATTATTTAAAAAAACTAATTAATTTGTTTCTTAAAAATCAATGGACTAATTTATAATTTACTCTTCTACAGACTAACATCTTTTGTCATTCAAGCGTTAATAAAAAAAAAAAAAAAAACTTTTCTCTTTGACTAGCTTGGGTATTAAAACGAAACTCTTGTTTTTTTAAAAAAAAACATTTTCCCTCGACTCACTAGTTTTTTTCTTGCAAATAATGTATATTTGTTAATTGTAAACTAGCTACAAACTTAGATTTGAACATTTGTTTGTACTAATAGATCTATAACTTCACAATAAATATCTTTTTTTCTTTTTTACATTAATTATAAATGTTGGTTTTGCCCTAGCCATGTATACTTGATAAAATAATACCATCCAATTATTCTTTTTCTTCCAAAGACATTGTTTTTCCTTCTGTTTATATCTATTATAAAATACTTATCCAATCAAAATTTTTAATATTGTATATTTTAAAATTACTCTTAAACAAAAAGGGAGATTTTTTAGAAAAATATTTTTAAAAAATACTGATATAACATTATAATTAATAAAAAAATTTAAATTATTATAAAAAGTTAAAAGAAACTATCACTTTAGAATACAAAGAATATTTGATTTAAATAGTTTTGGCATGTGAAATAATTTATCAATTATTAAGATATATGCATAGAAAAGGTTGCTTATATATATATATATATTTTTTTTTTTTTCTTTGTGTGTGTGTGTGTGATATTTTATCAGATTAGATTAGTGTTGGATATGTCTAATTTTTAATGGAAACTAGATTCTAGATTCTTTAAATCCGTAGTCCATATCTAGTATTATATATAAAAAAAAGATGAATTTGAGTTTTTTAAGAATGAAAATCAAATCTCCTAATGGTATATATCTACTCCTACTAGTAATAATTGTAAAATCAATTTTTAGGGCAACCAATTTTCAAAGGCACATTATTGCACATTTAATGGAGTAAGATTATGGGATCTGGACAAACGACAAACATCACATGCCTCGGACAGTGACCCACCGACGCCTGATATTTTCACATAAAAACTCTAAAGCCTCCTAGACTTTAAATAAAACGTAGATACGTTTTTCTCCCTAGCCGGGGATAACAAAGCCTAGTTTTTGGATTTCTACGCTCTCCCAGACTCTTGCTTTTGCAGAGTAAAGTATAAATTAATTCATCTAGTTTCCATAAATAAATCAATTAGTTCTATTTATTTTAAAAATTAATTAGTTAGTTTTTTATACTTTTAAATTTTCTTATAATTTAATCTTTTGTTTTTTTTTCAAATTATTTTGATTTTTTATTTTAAAAAATTTGAAAGGAAAAAAATTATTTCTTCCATGTCAAATAAATCTTCTGCATTTCTATTTATATACATGTCAAAATATTTATTTAATCAAAATTCTAAGTGATATATTTTTTAAAAATTCATCTAATTAAAGTCCATTTTGATGACTAATAATTTTAAAAATAATATTTTAGAACAATATTAACAAAAGATATTGTTATAACGTAACAGTTAATTATTTTTTAATCTATGTGAAAATTCAAAGAGAATAATCTCTTTAAGATAGATAGAGTAAATAAAAATATGGTAGGATTGATTGAAAAAAATGACATTTTATAAAATAAAATAATATTAAATTAATCATAATCAGTATTAATTAAGGAACTAGATAATTAAGTTTTGAAACAAAAAGGATTAATTAATTTTTTTAAAAAAAATAGAGAGACCAAATTTGAAATTTATTCTGCTTTTGCATTTACTTGAAGACCAATGGGTCTTGACTCTTGATCAAATCAAAACTACTTATGGTAATCGACAAGCTATCTTCGCACCTGCCGCCCAAGATCTTGAGTCGACTTGTCTTGTATGAATACTTTGAGCATGAGAGTTTCGAGAGAGGCCATGTTCATGCTTTTTGGACTCATATCTGTTTTTAGAAGATTTACGGCAAATTGAGTTAGAGGATACCATTCATTTTTCGATCCAAAGCTGCAATTTTTTGCATTTCTTTATTCTTCATTAAATGCTCTACAAAGACTACTACTTTGATTGAAAAAGTTAAACCAAAATACAATACAGCTTTGAAGAACCCAATCATGTTTTGCCTTTAAGGTAACCAATCTTTGTACATTTCTGATTCCATGCAAACCATCTGTCGTCCGAATTTAATCTTTGTAACAAAAGCAATATTTGGTGATTTTGCAATGCATGTAAGTTAAGTTGGGAGACTCCTATGAATATAATTCACAGTTTAACACGTTATATAAAATCATTAAAAATAAAATTTAATGAATGAAAATGAAGAGGGTAGCATTCTTTGCGATAGTTTGCGAGCAAAACTCTTTAAATGTCTATAATATATTGGATTAGATATATAAGTTAATAAAATTTTTATTTTTTAATAATTTTAGTTGTTTATGTTATAAATAAAATAAATATTTTTTGTTTTTGTAATCATCAATTGAAAAACTCTAATAAAAATTGTTAATGCAGTCATGAAACAAACACAATTTATTAAATCATGTAAATCACACTATGTGATTGTTTCTTATTTTTCTTCTTTATCTTCTTAGTTAATTTATTTTCTAACAATGTCAAGCGTACAGCAAGAATTCTCAAAGCCATTTCTTCAAGGACTTGCGTCCCTCTCGTAACCTCTTTTATAATCTAATCAAACACTAAGATTTAAATGTACTCAAGCCCAATGGCTTCGACTTGTGCAATCACCAACCGCCTTCTCTCCCTTTTTCTCAATTGTATGAATTACCGCCCTCTCTTTTGACCTTAATTGTGTTCATACTGTGTATCATTTAATTTACAATTGAAATTATTTGCAAAGCCTCCGTATTAGACAAATATCCAGTGGATTCAAATATTCTATTTGAAGAATAATAACTAATTCAGTTTGTTATGGTTATATATTGCTCTCATTTTTTGTTAATTTTTAACAATGAATATTAAATTTTCATTTTTGTTAGATGATCAATTTAATCTATTATGATAAATATAATTTTCGTATTTTATTCTCGCCCGCATATATATATATATATATATATATATATATATATATAAAAGGTAATATTAAAAAGCTTAGTAGTTTAATAATTATTTTTTTTATAATAAAATATTATAAATTTAAAACTTAATAGATTAATTTTATTAAAAATATTGAATGCATGCGTTAAAAAAGAAAAAAAAACGAAAGAGAAGGCGGCGTGGCTCGTAATTTGAAATCGATAATAAGATTTGGTGTGGGGTCACATATTGTCGTCTTTGTTTCATGCAAGAAGCCTGGCTCTAGAAAGTGACATAAAAGACCTTAGATATTCTTTTGAGGGGGCATGCCCCCTGATTTTCAAAAGGTCAATGTAATCTTTTAATTTTAGGCATATTTTCATCTTAGACTTTTTAGGAATTATCAAAAGGCCTCCCAAAATTTCCTAATTATCACTTAATACTTCTAAAGTCTCCTGATTATTTTAATCCCACCAATAATTTTGTTCACCCTCGAGAAATTTTATAATACACGAGGAGTAATTAGTGGCATTTATAGTAGTTACTCCTTGGATCAACTTTGAGGAAAGAGATAGACACACAAAAAGAAAAAGAAAAAAATAGGAGAGAAAATAAAAAAAATTGAGCGAACGTGAAAATCTTCTTATCAATAGTGGGTATGGATGTAATTTCTTTTTTATGTGTCTATCTCTCTCCTCAAGTGGACCGAAGAAGTAATTTACATGTCACTAATTACTCTTTGTGTATTATAAAATTTTCCTTCACCCTCAACCATTATTGATTTCGGATAACTTTAAAACTTTTAAATTATGATGGACAGTTGGCATGCATTGATTGGTTGAGTTATGAAAATAGTAAAAATGAAAAAAACCGAGATTGCTTCACAGTTTAAACCAAAAAAAAAGGAGAAAGATTCCTCTCTATTTTGTATGATGTATGAATCTTCATCGCGGCAAATCACTACACTCTGCTCCCGCCATTGTTATAAATAAGAAAAACATACACACATTTCCATCATGGCCACAATCCACCAAAGTCTCACCTAGAGTAGCTAGCAATTTCGTTTTGTTCGTGTTTTCCACTCTTAAGATAAAGATAAGCATAGGAGCGTTATTGTTTGTCATGATATTAAGGTTTGAGTCGATGATAGTGGCTTGTTGTAATGAAGCTCTTTTCTTCTTCTACATATATACACACACTAAAAAATGAGATCATTTATTTAAATAATTAAAAAAATTTCGCTCAAAACAACTTTTTTATATTATTGTAATGAAATTTTAGTAGTTTTTTTTAATAATAAGAGGTGTCTTCAAGTCATCTAATTCATCAACTGTGATTAATGATGATATAAAGCCAAAGATTGAAAAACCAAAGAATTTGAAACGATATTTTTTTGATGGAGCCAAATTGATCCTATGATGGAAATCTCTTAGTTGTTACGTTGAGTGCACTTATATGCCATGTCAGCAGTTTTTTCTAGTTCATCTCCAGCGCTAACATTCCATTCCGCCATAGCAAAGGTCTTTCCAAATTCTTTTGAGCTTTCTAATTACCTTTGCTAAATTTAGCTACTACAAAAATACTTTCTTCTCTTCAAAAAGATTGTCTTGTTTTTTTCATCCCAAAATAATCGTATTAATCAAAATATTAAGTATATATTTTCCTTCTACACCCTTAACTTAAATCCATCTCGCAAGAGACCTTAAAAAAAAAAAAAAAAACTTGTCTTATTTGCAATATGAAGGTTGATCTTAGAAATATCTTCATGGATGGATGAAGGACAAAAACATACTAGTCGCTGTTGCTGTTGCTTAGAGATGATAATTTATTTCGTTTTATCATAATTTTATTCTACTTCGTTTGGAGCAAAGATGATATTCAAAATTTCATTTCAAATGATGCAAAAGACGAGAATAAGATGAAAATTTGAAAGATGGGACAAGGAATGAGTATAGCTATCTTTGTCTCCGTCTCATCATTTTGTTTTTAGAAATGATAATTTGATGGGATCTCCCCTCATCTTGTTTGAAATAAGGATGATATTTTAAAAAAAATTTCGAATAAGAAAAGGAGCGAGGATGAAATGAAATTTTTTGAGACGGAAAAGGAACAGGGACGGGGATGACTATCGCGGATACCCATTGCCATCCCTACGTGTCGTCCTGGTCGTCATCATAATCCAAAACAAGCACAAGTACAGTAGAAACTTAGAAAGTTTTTCAAATTTGAAATAAACACTCTTGAAGTTATTTGCTTTAATCCTATTGGGATCGATTTAAGCAAATCAAGATTTACTCAGACATGAATGAATTTTGCCTCGACCTGATCAACATCAGCACCCTTCATATCTAGGTACGACCCTGTTTTATTTCCAATCCACTTGGCTAGTTTTTGTGCACTACTTTCAAAAGATAAATTCTCTATCTCTTGTATAGAGTAATTACAATGGTTATTCTTGAGTACTCTAAAAATTTCTTGTTGCAAAATATTAAATTAATTGGGCTAAGTTGTTTCACTTGGTCTATGGAAAACTAAGTTGACAGTAATTTAGAGTTAATTATAAATTTTAAAAACCCACTAGTCTATTTTAAATGCAAATCATAAATGAATGGGTGTTATCACATTTTTGTAAAATAAATCATTATTTTTTTTGGAAAAAAATATCAAAAAATAAAGAATCTCTTTAGCTTTTATGCGTATTGAGTTGCTCGATTTAGATGATAGGTTGCTAATGATTTTTGTCAGCACATAAGTCTAAAAATAAGAGGACACGAAAAACCTTGCATCCTAAAAATTTTCTTTTTACCATAAATTATAAATTAGTCTTTCTAATTTTAAAAAATAAATTAATTATTTTTTATTTTAAAATTTTTTATTAGCATTAACCATAATTAATATTTTATTTCTTAAAATAAAAAATCAAAATAAATTAAAAAAATAAGTTACAAGTAAATTTAAAAATTAAAAAAATTAAATAATTAGTTTTTGAAACAAAAGAAACTAACTAAATCATTTTTCAAAATTAAAGAGACTAATTTATAATTTACTCCACTTAATCATCTCAATTTTTTTCTTTTAAAATAAATCTAATACTACTATTGCAAGGAGATTTTTGTAACTTCATCCTTAAAATGACCAAAAATTTTCTTTTTCAGCTACAAAACCTTGGATAAATATATGATAGCATGTCTGAGAATTGGAGTGCGTGTTTGGTCCTAGACTTGGCCCCTCTCTCTCTCTCTCTCTCTCTCTCCAATTATTTATTTTACTTCTCAAAGCTCAATCCTTTTGTTTTTCAAAATAAAAATAAATATCTAAAGTCTCTCTCTGGACAATACAAAACCCACCCTCCAGATGCGACTCTCTTCTTCTTTCCCATTGTTTCAAGACATGAAAGCTTCTTCTTCTACCTTCCCTTCCTTGCCATGAACTCTTGCTTTAACTATACAGTCTTTGTAGATTAGTGCCATGGACTTTGGGCTTCTTGGTTTGGAGGGACTTGTGAGTGAACCTACTTTTCACGTCTCACTTCCTGAGACCAAACCAAAGATTCTTGGATCTGTGTTGACTAAGCAAGAAAGATCATCTTCATCTGCATCTGTTCAGGATGATTACTGGAGGACTTCAAAGATGCTAAAAATTGATGATTTCTCTGTCTCCAAAACAATGCCATTGCACCAAGGCACTCCTTTACTGAGATCTAATTATTTGGTTTCTAATGATTCTCGCCAACAAGAGCACATGCTGAGCTTCTCTTCTCAAAAACCAGAAACTACTCCATTTCTTAGTAAAGATGGTAACCACACCGCCGTAAGCTTTCCTTACTACCAGCAGATGCCCTCTGCTTATAGTAGAAGTGCAGGTAAGTAAACAAGTTTTTCTCTTGTTGGGGTTAAAGTTCTTATCTTTTGGTTGAAATTGATACGCGGATTTTGTTTGATGTTTGGTTTTGAGAAATGGGTTTTCGGGAAATGACAGATTTTAGCTACATTCTTGTCTAAAAGGTGGATTTTGATATTATCCTCATATGGCTTTATTTCCATGTACTGGTGATGGTCTTTTCATGGGCATTTAGTAGAAATTCTACATCTTTGGTCTTATCAAAGGAAAAAGTTGATTTCCCCTTCCTTGCAAGCCTGGTATTTCTGCTTTGGGTCTGGTTAAATTTTCAGTGTTAGAGAATGTTAGTTACAAAAGATGAAAAGAACAAGAAATATTAGGAAAATCAACAGTACACAGATAAACAGTAGTTTATTTTGCTGCCTGTTGTCTTAATTTTTTTCCCCTATGTCGAAGTAGGAAAATAATTAAGGATACATATTGCTTCTATAAGTGTTGCAGGTAAGAAATGTTTTATCCATTGTTGCAGGTTATGGCGCTGGAAGCTTGAATGCAAGCATGCATGGGCCCTTTACTGGGGTTAGAGGACCATTTACTGCATCTCAGTGGATCGAGCTTGAACACCAGGCCTTGATCTACAAATACATCACTGCACGTGTGCCTGTGCCTTCCAATTTAATCATTCCTCTCAGGAAGTCTCTCTACCCTTATGGCTTACCTGGCTCCTCTGCTGGATCCTTCCCTTCCAATTCATGTAAGCCTCTTCTATTCCTCTTAAAATAGTTAGAAGATAGAGCACTGCATATCCAATTAATAATTATCTTTTACGTTGTTGTTCTGTCTATCTATCTTTGGTTTTTGTTTGTGTGTTGGAGTTTTATTTTTCTTGTTTGGTGCTGAAAATAATGAGTGCTTTTTTTTTAATTTACTATGATCTTTGAAATAATGTCAAATCTGTATGCCCACAAATTAAAAAGTTGTTTTTGTAGCTATAAAGTAATACTCGGTTTGATGTAAAATTAATCTTTTTTTTTGTTGGGTGGGGGTGGATTATTCCCTCTCTTTTTGTTTTTCCTTTTCTTTTTCCTTCCGTCTTTCCCAATCTACATAGTGGGATGGAGCACTTTCCATCTAGGTTACCCTGCCAGCAACACTGATTTGGAGCCCGGAAGGTGTCGTCGGACTGATGGGAAGAAATGGCGGTGCTCAAGGGATGCTGTAGCTGACCAAAAATATTGTGAAAGGCACATAAACAGAGGCCGTCACCGTTCAAGAAAGCCTGTGGAAGACCAGACTGGCCGTCCTGCCATTGGGACTGCCGGTTCAAAGGTGGTGCCAATGTCTAACTCCATGCCAACATCGGTTATAACCAATGGTAGCCCCTCCAACAGCATTGCGATCACGCAGCAACAGTTCAAAAATTTGCAGCCGGCTGGTGCTGCCAACTCTTCTGCAGATGCTTGTGTCAACAGGTAAGACACTTTATGCATTTGAGCTTCCTTTTATTTGTTTGTTTTATTTGCCTTTTGGTATCTATTTCAAGTTTTATAAAATGCTATTTCTCTCGAACAATATGTATACTCAGACTCTCTTCCTTTTACTTTACCATAAAGTTGACCCATTACTTCATCTTTACTTTGGTGACAGTGACTAGTCCTGGTAGTTGATACTTAGGATTCCTTTGTTTCATTATAACTTACCATTTTTTATTACTTTGTACATTTGGATGGAAGCCTTTTATGTAGAAAAATATGTATTTGTGGATGTTGTAGATCCTTTTTGTATCTTGTTGATGCATGACTTTATAAAAACTTAGTTTATTGTTCACCGAATTACTATATTATACTTAGATTTGGTCTAAGAAAAGTTAATGTCTTTGGCAGAGCACAAGATGAAAGGAGCATTTCTATGATGTCTTCCACTATCAACGGGAAATCTGATGAGTCAACTTTCTCTATTCCTAAACAAGATATTCTAATTGAACAATGCTCTCAAACAGAGTTTGGACTTGTCTCCTCTGATTCTCTCCTCAACCCATCACAGAAGAGCTCTTACATTAACTCAAAACCCTACGGGTCTTTTCTAAACTTTAATGATGAAGAAAGCCAAGATCAGCATCCCCTTCATCAATTCATTGATGACTGGCCGAAGGACCAATCGAATCGTTCTCTAATTAGCTGGCCAGAAGAGTTGAAATCTGACTGGACCCAGCTCTCAATGTCAATCCCAATGGCCACATCAGACTTTTCGTCATCGTCATCCTCACATACGCAAGAGAAACTTGCCCTCTCCCCATTGAGGTTATCTCGCGAGTTTGACCACCCTATACAAACCAACTGGACACCTATCACTTGGGGGAGTTCAATTGGTGGCCTTTTAGGAGAGGTCTTGACCACCAGCACCAGCCATGTGGATTCCTGCAAGAGCTCATCACCTCTTAACCTTTTGAGAGAAGGTTGGGATGGCAGCCCGCAGTTGGGATCTTCTCCGACAGGAGTCTTGCAGAAATCAACTTTCGGTTCGCTTTCAAATAGTTGTTCAGGGAGCAGTGCAAGAGCCGAGAGCAAGAAAAACAATGATAGTACTAGTCCGTATGAGAATGTGGTTAGTTCAGTAATTGTAAGTTCATCCCCTATCCCATCTCTGTAACCAAGCGAAGGGTCAGCATGAAACTTGGCAAGGAAAAGTGAAGAAGCTTGGGAGTTATTTATCTGTTTAATTTCTGTAGGCTGTTTCTCTTTGTTGCATGTTTTTTCCCCCTCGAATTTGCAATGTAAAGACATGGCTGATTCCAATTGAATAGGTATTGGCCATTCTTGCACCTATGGATCTGCAGGGATAGTTGATGTGTGAATTAAAGTCCCTTTTTTTCCCCGGCTTTATCAGAGCTGAATGTCTTATTTCTCATGGTTTCAACTTTGAAATTTGCTGCATCATCTCTTTGGCTGTGATATATAACCCAATTATTCACACTGGCGTACAATGCATTATCAGATCGGGTCAGGACTCAGCCCTCAGGACAATCATGCTTCAATAATGTATAGGATATATATTTCAAGAAAAATAATGGAGAGGGAACCATGGAAACGATACACGCAGACCAAACTTCCCCGCAGTGGGGACAGAAGAGTCGATCATAATTTTAAATCGCCGCAGTGGGGACAGAAGAGGCTATTATAATTTTAAATCGTAGGAGATAAAAAACAATTTTAAATCGTAGAAGATTGAAAAAACAGTTGTGATAATCGTTACGAATCATGATTTATTATAATATTAAAATAATAATAATTATGTGTTTCGAAATTATTACAGAACAGTCATTATTTCGTCAATGTAACGATTAAAACTATAGAGTCAATGTTATTTAAAACTATAAAATCAATTATTTAAAACTATGGAGTCAAACGATGATGGTGAAACTTTCATGGCAACAGCAACAAATAATAGAACTTCCAAAATAAGTATCATCGATTCTTTGCTGGCCAGTGTCTGACATGCACTTTCCAATCCATTCCAGACCCAGTGGGTAGGTTGCTTCCAAGATATGAACATTAAAAGATGAAGCTCCCTGGACTCCAGACAGCAGCAACTCTTGTGGCCTGCCCACCCGGCAGACCGCGCAACTGCCTTCACTTACTTTATTGGTCCATAAACTCAACTCTGGCCCTGCCACTGACACTAGTTGAACAATTTTGGTCCTGGCCTCACCTTGGCTTGACATCGAGTGTAGATTTTTCGCAGTCTGGGACCGGTTCTGGTTACACCGTACCGATATCAGGGCCCTTACAACATTATTATTGATTGGACATCAACTTAGCTGTATCCAGATATGAAAAGAAGATATTATGAGTTCGGAGGATATTAGCTGTGATGATGGATTTAAAGTAAATGGAGAGTGAAAGCTTAAAGGTATGATCGTAGCTGGACCAGCCGTTCAGGTCAATTTGAACTTCATTTGCCAAATGCTTTTGGGGGCTGGACTTCACTTGGTAGGCAAGGAGTTAGTGACAACCTAGATTTTGCTACTGTAGACGCAAGGTTCCAAGCAAGCAGGTGCCTCCTGATAATTATTAGGAAGGTGATGGTAAAAGATTTATGAGATCGATACACATGAAGAAAAGTCTCATTGTGGACAGTTGAAAAAATAAAACTTGAGAATGCATTTGAGATTTTGTCAAATGGGGAGAACAAGAAGCGACTCAGAAAGTTATGGATTGCTGCTATGGTTATCAATTTTTTTTTTGTATTTGATTAGAATCGATTTTCATGCTTATAATCTTTACTTGAATTTTATGAAAATGATAATCACAACGTAAAATTGAGAAAAAAATCAAAATATTTGGATTTTTAAAAGAAATTTTATGAAAATTGAGGAGTGAAAACTTTAGTTGCCTACTCTTTACATGCTTATGATGCAAAATTATTGAAAATATTTTTTATTTAGTTTTGTATAAAAAACCTATAAAGAAAAGAAAAAAAAAGATATTCAAAATAAAAATCGTTTAAAAAAATTATTATTAAAAGGATGCCAATTGATAGGTGACCTTACCTAAATTTTTCGAAGATACAGTCAAATTGAAAAAAAGGCAATCTCAAAAATCAAAATCGTCAAATCGGAAAAAAAAAAATCAAATTGGAATTAAGGGGAGAATCATGTAAAATTTCACTTAAAACGAGAGATCGTTTGCAAAATACTTAGATTGAGAAAACTATGAGTTTCATCACCCAAATCTTTTTGAAATCACAAGTCTAATACGGAAATGATATTTCACCAAATGAAGCTGGTTGAAAGGCAACTCCTATAAAGATGATAAGTCGAGGTATTTTTATAAAGTAATTTTTTTTACTTGAAAAGAAAACATAGATCACACTTTGAAAGACCAATCCCTTTCTTTTAGATACTGAACTTGGAGAGTTCTAAGATATCGGTCTCTGTTTTGCTTGAAATAGCTCTCTTGCCCTGTGTTCATCTATATTGTTGTTGCTTCAATTAATACCTAAATATTGGATTGCCAAGCTCTCATCCTTTCTTTTGTGTTGACTTCGATTGTCCAGAGTCGATTTTGCTACATTTGGATTGGCAATAAACTCAAGTTTGTCGTTTGAAAACTATCCTAAAGCGTTCCATGTTTCATAGATCACCACTCAACGTCACGTTTAAAACATCGAACTGAATCATAACATGCCTACAAGTATTGATTGTGATCATTCATTTACCAACCACCTCAAATTTTTTGATTTTCATGGATTAATTCATAAACTTAGATGATATTATTTTGGGATATTGCCTTGGAAGTTATTATTTTGCAGATTCAAGATTGAAAAAACATGGCTAAAGTTGCCCAAACATTGCCGAATCACTCCACTCAAGCCATTTTTAGACAAATCAAGAGTCTCAAGAGAACTCAAACTATAAAATTAAAGAAGGGATCTTTATTTTTTTTTGTCTCTCTCCTCATAATGAATTCATTAAATAAGTTCTATACATACTACCATAAAATTTATCATTGTAATGTCCAGACCTTTGAATCAAGAAGTTGAAAGAAAGGTTGAGATGAGTCAAGCTTTTCCATCCTTCTAAATCTTGTTTGGAAATCGGGCCATGAATTCTATTATTTGGGAGATCTAAACCGTCCAATTTCTTCGAGGTTCTTGAGAAATTCGGGAATCCACTAATGTGGCAGGAGGACGGTTTCCCAAAAAATGAGGTTGGGCAAGAAGAAATTGACATTATTGCTGGTTCTAAATGACAGTTCTCTGTTTTGTTAAAGATGAAGAACCTGGAAACTTTTGAGCTTTCCAAACATGTACCAAAAACATTATTGGAAAAGATCCTTTAACTTGTTTGTTGATCAAACATGGTCCGATCTCATAATCAATATTCACATACTTTAAAGTAAATAACAAGCTAGCTCATCCAGGTTTGCAAAATTAATTAATTGGTCTAGCGTTCCCTATGTTTGATATAATATAACTTTATTTTGATAAATATTCTCTAATCAATCTTTCAATATTATTATTTATTAAATAAATTAGATTTTGACAACTAAATCGACCCAAATCCAATATATTGACAACCCTTGTTATATGAGAAAAACATATGGCACAATTATTTATAATATTTTTGAAAACATATGTTTTTCTCATTTTGATATATTTGCTATGATTACTTATCAGAATAAAAAAATAAATATTTCTATGGTTTGATTGTTACTTAAAAGTAGCATTCACAAAAGAAGAATTCAAAAACTACGGTTTGATTTTTAGATTAGATGCTAACAATTTGATTATAGTTTTTGAAAATCCCATCACCTTGATTAATTAATCTTTCTATAAACATGGGTTATAAATTAATTGAAATCATTTTTAAAAAAATCTAATTCAGATTGAAATCCAATTTCACAAACGTCTCTCCTACCCAATGCCCATTAGAGAATTCTTAATTATTTTAAAAAAATCATAATAGACATGAGTATAATAATATATAATTGTTCTTCTTCTATCAAGGCAAAAACTTGCAGTGTCAAAAAACAAACCCACAAAACCCAGCAAAGCAATAATTCATCAGCGTTAGATCTGAAATCTGTATCGTCAAAATAAAATTCAATCTTTGAACAACGAATTTACTTCAACATGGGCACAAATATTGCACATAATCCAAAAAAAAATCAGCATAAAGAAGATAAATTTAAAGAAATGGATGTAGGGAGCTCAGATTCTATGGGTGTAAAAAGAGTCTGTCATGCCCAATTGAGCAATATTCAGTACGAGGAATTTATCTTATAATCATCGCAACCCCAAACCAAACATCCTTAACAATTTCAAAATCCAAAACCAATAAAAAGAACAAAAAAAAAAAAAAAACTGAAATTCCAAAAAAAGAGAAGGGGGAAAGGCTCAGACACGCACAAATGCTGTCATCAAATAAAACTTAGCTTTCACTTTGGTCCATATAAAAGCAAACATGATATAATTCTGCATCGAGAAACTTAGTCAGTCATCACAGCCTCAAAGTCTTATCGGACACAAAGATCAACAAGCAAAAGCAAAGGGGAAAAAAGACCTAGAAAAGAAAACAATCAGGAACAAGAAGTAGGAATCATGAGTTGAGAGGTGGCTAATGCTTCATGCCTTTAAAACCCTAATTCTTAACATAGCTTTATATATACACAGAAATCATGAAGGGCTTGAAATTACACTACTATCCTTCCGTTTTGGGCTATCCTTGGTCCATTTATATATAGGATTTTTCTATCTCTCATGGTGTTTCATCATCTCGGCCCACTGATGTACTTGGATCCTCCTCTGTCATTTTTCTTGTCATGAATAAATTATAAATTAACCCCTTTAGTTTCAAAAAACAAATTAATTAGTACCTCTTATTTTACAAACTATTATTTAATTCCTATATTTTAAAATTTTCTTGTAATTATTTTTTAATTTATTTTTATTTTTCATTTTTTGTTTTGAGAAATAAAAAAAGTAAAAATATGAAAGACATCATAAGAAAAAATTGATATTTTTTAAAATAAAATTATATTAAATTAAATGCGATCAACATTGAGAAAAAATGATATTTTTTAAAAATTCCATTATGTGAAGATTGAGCTGTCAAAAAAATTATTCTCTAGAAAAAAGATTTTCTTAGAGGAAAGTTGAAGCTCGAGGACCACAATTGATGCATTTAACCGATATAAAGAATATACCATTAATATCTCTTAAACAAGATTGACGTGCAAACTGTCCAATAATATCTTTTATAGTCGATCAAAAAAATCAAAAGTGTATAAAGAAAAAAACATTCATCCTAGGAGCATGAATCAAGATGAGATTCTAAATTACCAATTCTTAATTAGAAAATATAAATGGACATTATGAATCACTAAATATTAACTATTCCAACTGCAATTTAAATTTAGATAGTATTATGTGCAAAAGGATTGATTTGAGGTTTTATTTGTTTAAATAAATAGTTTCGAATTTAAATTTTTATATATTTAATTTTTTTTTGAATAATTATCTTTATTTTGTACGTTTGATAGAATATTGAGTGATTAGTATGAGATACCTAGAAGATTAAAAAAAATAAATAAATAACCTTCTCTATTGATTTTTAAAATTGCTTTGTCTTTAGTTTCGTGGACGTTGAAATTGGATAACCCACTGTATTGGAAATTGTATTTTTTCTATTAAGATAAGACTGTTTTTTACGGAAAATTCTTTATTGAGTTCTTATTTTGTTGTATAGTAAATTTAATTCATTTTTTTAGGAGCTTTCATTAACGAATTTCGGCTTATAAAAAAAAAAAAAAAGAAAAGAAAACTATTCAAGCATGAAGAAAATTACCCAACAAAACACTTCGGTAGTTGTGTTTTTAGACGTGTTCCCTACTGTTTACTCTACTGACTTGTGTTTAGATGCTTTGGCTTCCTCGAACTCTATTTTCATATTTATTGCTTCTAAAACAATATCTTTATTTTTTGTTTGTCGGCGATATTTATCTCAGCATTTATCTATGTTTTTCCCTAAATCTATTTCCATTTTTATTTTTTTTTCTAAATATTAGCATCTTTAATTCTTTTTTCTCATGATGTCTATCTTCTTCATTTTCCTTATCACATACCTAATTATTTTGATTTTTTTTAAGTAAATAAAACAAACTGAAATAAGGAGTACTCAATAAAAAAAACCAGTAATATGTTATTCTCCTTTTATGGTCAAACTAAGAAAAAAAGACAACATCCAAACAATTTTAGGCTAACATACATGATTTAAAAATTTCATGTTATTGTGTAAAATCACATTCAAAACACACACTTGATCAATTAATAAAAGAACAATTATATATTCAAATTGCACGACTCTCTATTTTTTAATGAGAAAAGGAGTAAAAAAAGAAAAATAAAGTTTTAATTCTTAGACCCTCTACTTCTGTGATCTCAAAATAAAAAAAATAAAAATAAATAAAAAGCAAGCTCGAGGAATTAATGCAAGACTTCAGAATTTTCCTTATTTTTCTTGAATTTAATTCTCTTACCAAGTTCACATAGAAAATTTCAAATAAAAAAATTTTAATTAAGAAAAGCTTGCTTTCAAACATAATAAAATATATTATGCTATAATATAAATTGATAAGGTTTCATAGTTGAGTGGTAGATCATTTGACTGATCAAGAGTTCATTAGTTTGAACTTAGTTGGCATTTATTTATTTTATTCAAAAAGAAGTTTTTTTTGGAGAAAACAAGTGTCTTTTTTGTAATTTTCAAATAAAAATTTTAATTAAGAAATACTTCCTTTAAAAAATAATAAATAATAAATATACTACAATATATATTAATAAGGGTCCATAGTTTAGTGGTAGAGCATATGATTTTGTTTTAGAAAACTTCAAATAAAAAATGTTAATTAAAAAAACATCCTTTTAAAAAACAATAAAACATAAATATGCTACGATATAAATTTATATAAAAAAGTACGACTTTCAAATAAAAATATTACTTAAGAAAAAAATCTTTTTAAAAATAATAAAAAATAAATATGCTATAATGTAAATTAACAAAGATCCATAGCTTAGTGGTAGAGCATTTAACCATAGATCAAGAGGTCATTGGTTCAAACTTGGTTGGGCCTTATTTATTATTATATTTCTTTAAAAGTAGGCTTTTTTTTGGTTGGAGAAAAAAAAGTTATCTTTTTTTAAGAAATTTTACAAATAAAAATGTTAAGTAAAAAAAATTCTTTTAAAAAATAATAAAATATAAACATGCTACAATATAAATTACTAACCATAGCTCAACGGTAGAGCATTTGATTGCAAATTGAGAGGTCATCGGTATGAATCCAACTATGCCCTTATTTATTATTATATTTCTCTAAAAAAAGGTTTTTTTTTAATTGTTGGAGAACAAAAGGTATGGCTTTTCTAAGAAAAATTTCAAATAAAAAATGTTAGTTAAGAAAAAATTTCTTTAAAGATAATAAATATAAATGTACTATAATATAAATTAATAAGGATTCATAGCTCAAGCAGTAGAGCATTTGATTGCGAGATCAAGAAGTCATCGATTTGAACTCGATTGGGCCCTTATTCATTATTATATTTCTTTAAAAGTGGATTTTTTTTTTTGAGAAACAAAAAGCATGTTTTTGTAAGAAAAAATTCAAATAAAAATTGTTAATTAAAAAAATTGTTTTAAAACATAATAAAATATAAATACACTACAATATAAATTCGAAGGATCCATAGCTCCGTAATAGAGCATTTGATTGTAGATCAAGAGGTCATCGGTTCGAACCCGATTGGGCCCTTATTTATTATTATATTTCTTTAAAAGAAGGTTTTTACATGTTGTAATAAAAAGGGTGTAATTTTTTTAAGAAAATTTTCAAATAAAAATTATTAATTAGAAAACTTCTTTTAAAAAAATAATAAAATATAAATATGCTACAATTTAACTTGATAAGGATCCATTGCTTGGTGGTAGAGCATTTGAGTGCGGATCAAGAGGTCATCGGTTTGAATCCAGCTTGGACCCTTATTTATTAATATATTTTGTTAAAAGTAGTTTTTTGTTTTTATTGGAGAAAAAAAAGTATGATTTTTTAAAGAAAATTTTCAAATAAAAATGCTAATAAAAAAAATTTGATTAAAAAATAATAAAATATAAATATGCCACAATAAAAATTAATAAGGGTCCATAGCTCAGCGGTAGAGCATCCGACTCGCAGATCAAGAGGTCATCGGCTCGAACCTGGTTGAGCCCTCGTTTATTATTATATTTCTTTTAAAGAAGGTTTATTTTTGCTAGAGAAAAAAAGTATTTTTTTAAGAAAAATTTCAAATAAAAAATGTTAATTAAAAAATTCTCTTAAAAATAATAAAATATAAATATGCTACAATAAAAATTAATAAGGGTTCATAGCTCAGTGGTAGAACATTTGACTACGGATTCGGAGGTTATTGGTTTAAACTCGATTGGTTCCTTATTTATTATTATATTTCTTTAAAAGAAGGTTTTTTTTTTTTTTTTTTTTTTGCTAGAGATAAAAAAAAGCATTATTTTAAGAAATGTTTCAAATAAAAATGCTAATTAAAAAAACTTCTTTTAAAAAATAATCAAATAAAAACATGTTACAATAACAATTAAGAAAGGTCCAAAGCTCACTAGTAAAGCATTTGACTACGGATCAAGAGGTCATTGGTTTGAACTCGATTGGGCCCTTATTTATTATTATATTTCTTTAAGAGAAGGTTTTTACTTGGAGAAAAAAAGTATGGTTTTTTTTTTTTTGAAGAAAATTTTCAAATAAAAAATGTTAATTAAAAAACTTCTTTCAAAAAATAATAAAATATAAATATGCTACAATTTAAATTAATAAGGATCCATTGCTTAGTGGTAGGGCATTTGAGTATAGGTCAAGAGGTCACCTGGTTTGAACTCGGTTGGGCCCTTATTTATTATTATATTCTTTAAAAGTATTTTTTCTTTGTTGGAGAAAAAAGTATGATTTTTTAAAGAAAAATTTCAAATAAAAATGGTTAATGAAAAAAACTTTGTTTAAAAAATAATAAAATATAAATACTCTTCAATATAAATTAATAAAGGTCTATAGCTCGGTGTTAGAGCATTTGACTCGCGATCAAGAGGTTATTGGTTCGAACCTCATTGGGCCCTTATTTATTATTATATTTCTTTCGAAAAAGTTTTTTTTTGTTGGAGAAAAAAGTATCGTTTTCTTAAGAAAATTTTCAAATAAAAAATTTTAATTAAAAAAGGTTCTCTTGAAAAATAATAAAATATAAATATGCTACAATAAAATTTATTAAGGGTTCATAACTCGGTGGTAGAGGATTTGACTATAGATCAAGAGGTCATTGGTTCGAACCCGGTTGGGCCTTTATTTATTATTATATTTCTTTAAAAGATGATTTTATTTGTTGGAGAAGAAAAGTATGGTTTTTTAAAGAAAAATTTCAAATAAAAAAATGCTAATGAAAAAAGTTCTTTTTTTTTTAAACAAAAAATATATAAATATGCTACAATTTAAATTAATAAGGATTCATTGCTTAGTGGTAGAGCATTTGAGTGCAAGTCAAGAGGTCATCGGTTTGAATCCGATTAGGTCCTTGTTTATTATTATATTTTTTAAAAGTTGTTTTTTTGTTGCGAGAAAAAAAGTATGATTTTTTAAAGAAAATTTTCAAATAAAAATGGTTAATGAAAAAAAATGTGTAAAAAATAATAGCATATAAATATGCTACAATATAAATTAACAAGGGTCCATAGCTCGGTGGTAGAGCATTTGATCTGCAGATCAAGAGGTCATCGGTTCGAACCTGGTTGGGCCCTTATTTATTATTATAATTCTTTTAAAGAAGGTTTTTTTTTTTTCTAGAGAAAAAAACATGTATTGTTTTCTTAAGAAAATTTTCAAAAAAAAAAAATGTTAATTAAAAAAATTCTCTTAAAAAAACAAAAAATATAAATATGCTATAATAAAAAATTAATAAGGGTCCATAGCTTAGTGGTAGAGTATTTGATTGTAGATCAAGATATTTATTATTATATTTCTTTACAAGAAGGTTTTTATTTGTTGGAGAAAAAAATTATGGTTTTTTAAAGAAAATTTTCAAATAAAAAATGTTAATTAAAAAAATAATAAAATATAAATATGCTACAATTTAAATTAATAAGGATCCATTGCTTGGTGGTAGAGCATTTGAGTTTAGGTCAAGAGATTATCGGTTTGAACTTGGTTGGGCCCTTATTTATTACTATATTTTGTTAAAAGTAGGTTTTTTTGTTGGAGAAAAAAAGTATGGTTTTTTAAAGAAAAATTTCAAATAAAAAATGTTAATGAAAAAAATTGTTTAAAAAATAATGAAATATAAATATGCTATAATATAAATTAATAAGAGTCCGTAGGACCATAGCTTAGTGGTAGAGCATTTGACTCGTAGATCAAGAGGTCATCGGTTGGGCCCTTATTTATTATTATATTTATTTTAAAATGGGTTTTTTTTTTGTTAGATAAAAAAAAAACATGTTTCTTTTAAGAAAATTTTCAAGTAAAAATGTTAATTAAAAAAACTTCTTTTAAAAAATAAGAAGGTTCCATAGTTCGGTGGTAGAGCATTTGACTGCGGATCAAGAGGTCAACGATTCGAACCCGATTGAGCCCTTATTTATTATTATATTTCTTTAAAAGAAAGTTTTTACTTGTTGGAGAAAAAAATTATTTTAAAAAATAATAAAATATAAATATGCTACAATTTAAAGTAATAAGGATCCATTGCTTGGTGGTAGAGCATTTGAGTGCGAGTCAAGAGGTCATCGGTTTGAACCCCATCGGGCCCTTATTTATTATTATATTCTTTAAAAGTATTTTTTTTGTTGGATAAAAAGAGTATGATTTTTTTTTCAAATAAAAAATGTTAGTGAAATTTTTTTTTATAAATATATAAATATGCTACAATATAAATTAATAAGGGTCCATAGCTCGGCGGTAGAGCATTTGATTGCGGATCAAGAGGTTATTGGTTTGAACCCCGTTATTTTTCTCTTAAAGAAGATTTTTTTTTGTTTGTTGGAGAAAAAATTATTTTTTTAAAGAAAAATTTCACATAAAATTTTTAATTAAAAAAACTTATCTTAAAAAATAATAAAATATAAATAAGCTACAATAAAAACTAATGTGGGTCCATAGCTCAATGGTAGAGCGTTTGACTGTCAATCAAGAAGTCATCCATTTGAATTCGGTTGGGCCATTATTTATTATTATATTTCTTTAAAATAATTTTTTTTTTGGTTGGAGAAAAAAAAGGATAAAAAAAACGTATGGTATTTTAAAGAAAACTTTCAAATAAAAAATGGCCTTCGCTATTTTTATGGTTTCCTTAAAAGTTTATCGATTATAAAGTATGGCCTATTTTTATGTATTAGACATGTTGCATTGATTTAAATTTGGGTGATTCATGTGGCTTAAAATTAATTGAATTTGATTTAATTAAAATATCCTGATTTGGAGTTGTTGTTTTGTTTTGACACATTAAAAAGAATTTTGAATTTAATTGTTGCGATTGGTGATTCCAATAGAATTCGATCTCTTGGAAACAGATGGTGGGGTATATGATACTTAGGGTTTATCGGTATTTTTTGTTTTATTATTATTATTTTTACTTTATTAATAATTAAGGTTGAGAATAATTACTAGCATTTTAATTTTATTTTATACACAAAAACTCTTGAGAAATTGTTTGGTCAATGGTAAATCTAGCAATAGATTATCCCGCTATTTGTTTGTGCAAAATTAAAATATACCAATATTGTGTGTCAAAGACCATGTGTAGGCCTCTTGACTATATTTTAGTTTTTGTGTTTGGTCATGTCTAAATAATCTCCCTTGATTTGCTGATAACTGTAATTTTACAAGATTATTTGATGTCATGTTAGTTAAAATTAGTCTTATTGTCTAGGTCTGAAATCTGAAACAAATTTTGTTTCAATGAGGAGGCTTTCTCCTAATTTTTTAATTTATTATTATTTTATTTTTGGTTTGTTATTTATTTATTTTATTTTGTCTTAATCAGGTAGTGCTATAATTTTGCCTTCTTGTAAATTTAACTCTAAATTTGAGATTAGACTTAAAGGTCGAGTTTTGTTATTTTTCTTGGTATGGCAGGTTGTTATAAGCATAAAGCCAGGGTGCTTTTAATTTTTTTTTTTTTTGAACTATTTTCTAATTGAACTTCTTTTATTTTTTTACTTTGATGGTTTGGTAGGTCGGGATAGGCCTAAAGTCCATTTTTTTTACTCTTTTTTTATTTATTTATGTTTGGACATGAGTTTTCTAATTTGCAAATAGATTTTGAATCCTAACTTCTTCCTTTCCAATTGATTTCAAATGGTTTAATGACATTTTGGTTAAAAGATTGAGTTTTTTTTTTTTTTTTATAAAAAAAAGCTACAAATCACCTCACTTCAAATTGTTTAGAAAAAACCTAATAAATTGATAAATTAGGACATATAAGTGGACACGCAATTAGAATTTGTATAAATTTTTTTTTCATGTGTTAGAATTCAGCAGTAATTTTATTACAAAGACCGACTAAAATAACCATGGTCTTTGCTAATCAGCTTTTTTTAAGCAGAACTCTTATAATCACTTTATAGATTTTTTATAGTTTTATCTTTAAAAAAATCAAATAGCAACTCTACTTTACGAACACATTTTTTTTTTGGTAATTGCATAAATATCAGCGTGTAGAGTCAAAGATAGAAATGCCAGTACAGGAGGAAAACGAAACCCAAGTGAAAGCTCAATTTCACTTGACACTTATGATTCTACAACAGAGGTAGGGAGAAGGAGAGGCTGAGCCTTCCTTGGTAAGAAAACCAAGAAAGACAAGGAGAAAGATGATTTAAAAATATAAAATTAAAAATAAATCATCCATTACAAAATTCAGGGATCCAAACTCGACTATTAAAATTTAAACCTTAGATTTCAATGAAAGCACATACAAATATCAAAAGAAATATGCTTATACTTCAATGTCAATTGAGCAAGATAAGAGTAGAATATTATCAGCAATATAGATCGATTGATTTAAATCTCTTAAGTTAGAATACAGACAGAATGTAGTTTGATATATTAGTTTAAGAATTTGATTCGACAAGAGAAACTAATCCTAGTCCAAATGTAAATGTTTCATCTTCCCCGAACTCTCTCTCTAGGAATAGCAGGAAGATTAGCTAGCCTAACCACATTATCATCCTGAACATCACATGAATTCTTGCACGAAAAGATAAGCCTGTTCTTCCTTACTTTAGACCCGACATTCTTCTTGCTTTCACTTGAAAACTTACCATTTCTCGCATTCTTTGTGCATTCCTTGTAAGCTGCAAGGAAAGGGTCTTCTTGCCACCACCTAAACCCTTTCGCTGACCTGCTTCTTCGAGGAGGCTCTATCTTCGTGCTCACGCATGGAGGAAGAGGAATTTTCTTGGAGGAGCTATCCGAGTCCTGATCAGGAAACAAAATCGGGTATGTAGGTGGTGATATCTTAATGGCATTTAGCCCTTTATCTTTTGGGTATTCTTGGGGGATGACCTTGGAGACTCCAGGTGAGTTCTCCCATGAAAAGGGTATGCTTCCTTGCGAGTAAACCTTCCTATGACTCATCTTTCGTGAAGGGATATTTTGATACAAGAAGAAAGGTTGTCCTTATATTGAGAGGGTTCATTAATTGTAAGAAAATAATATCGTCATGCATTCTACACTCTCTAACCGCAAAGAAACCACAAGGTCAAGCAAGTGAAACGTGAAATGGAAGCTGTTTTTAGCTTTTAAACCAATTCAAAGAATTGGATGATGAAGGAGAAGAAAAAGAAGATCAGGTTCGTGGGTGTTTGGTGGCCATAGTTTGGCTAATTAGGCGACAAAAAACAAATGAAAAAGCTTAATGGTCCTAGATTGACGAATAGAATGATACATGATTGGTAGGTCTGGCAGGGGGAACAGACGAGGGGAACTCTGAGAAATAAGAAACTCACTTTTTATTTTGTTCTTAATTGTGTTATGATGCATCTATAAAGTTTTGAGAATTATGATGTATTTACATTTGGTTTGGGGTTGACAGCGGTGAGTTAAATGTGATGCGATTGTGCATATACAAGGAGAGTGTTAAAATATGATGCAATTAAGTTGTTGGCTCAATATACAGTAATTAGCGAGTTAGTCTTCATGCGATTTTTTTTTTTCAATATACAAATTCGAATTTTAAAAGTATATTTCTTAAAAAAGTTAAAACTTATTATTTCAATCTTAAAAAGATTAATCATTTTTCTAATCATATTTCTAACGTGAAATGGAGATATTTAAAAAAAAAAAAAGAATAAAGTGCTATATAAGTATGTTTGATAAGTTTTAAAAATTATTTGTAATAGTGAGACTCTATAATGTTTAAATCAAGATTTAAATTAAATATAATAATGTATAATAAAGGGATCCAATTGTGGAGTGACTGGAAAGACAGAGAAAGTGTTGAATTTGAAAAAAAAAAAAAATTTACAAATTCTGGTAAAATGCTAAATAATCATCCATGTGTTCGTATTGATTAATAAGCTTCTACGAAAAAAATTAGGTCAAAGTTCATCCTTTATTTGCAAATTTAGTCAATTCAACTTTATTAGGCTAAATTGAATTAAATTGAAACTTGACTACCCATTAGAATTTTTTTAAAAATTAAAAGAAATAGAAAAAAATTATTTCCTCAAAAAAATAGAAGGTTAAAAAAAATATTAAGAATAAAAATTAATATTTCTAAAAAACATTAAATAATTTAAATAAATGAAAAACTCCAAACAATACTTAGTCATTTTTCAAAATGTTTAAGAAATAAAAATTTGTAAAGTATTTTAAAAAATATTAAATTTTTATAATATACGTAAGAACTAAAAAATCGAAATAACTTAGCTATTAAAATTTTAACAAATAAAAAATTCAAAAATGTTAAGCCATTAATTTCTTTCGAAGTTTTGTGAAATAGAAAAATAATTTTTTAGGAAAAAAATTTAAAATTATGATTTTTTAATTAAAGATAGAAAATATACATTTTCAAGAAATAAAAAAAAAACTCATTCACTAAATTTTGTTAAAATGTCGAAGAAAATATTTAAAAGTACAATTTTATTTTTGAATAATGGAATATTAAAAATTTCGGAATTTCTCAATTAATGTTTTTTAATGTCTAAGAAAAAAATCTTCAAAATTTTAATTGGTAGTTATCTTACAATTGAATTCAATTTATTTCAATTTAGTGGAGTTGGCTAAATTTACACAGCATAGGGTAAAATTTGATGAATTCGTTTCCGTAACTTATTTATTGAATCGATACAAACACAGCTGCCGTATTAACACTCAACCCTCGTTTGAGAGCCACGTGTTAACTCATTTTTTCCCTCATTTTTCTAAAAAAAAAATGAAGGTTAAGTCTATTGTTTTATATTTATGCTTTATTTTTCTTGACTTTTTTTTTTTTTTCCGGTCTCAAATAGGGATTCTGCAACCAATCAGATGTTAAGTATTAAAAGTTTAGTGTTAGTAATTAGTAGTTAGCAGAATAGAATGATAAACTACTCTAATCTTTTTTTATAATAAGAATTTTTTAATTTCAAATACTCTAAAAAAAAATCTGAACCCATGACTTCTTATAAGTGCAAGAAGCTCGTTACTATTAGTAACAAATCTTTCATTTAACCTTGATTGCGAGATAGTTGTCGTTTTTTCACAGATTAAATTTTAAGTAAAATCTTTCATTTGGTCAAAGGAAAATAATTATATTATTAACAGATGAGCATACGTATATGGACTAAAATCAAACTTATATAAATTAATTAATTTTCAATTCCAATCTAATATTTGTGAAACGTTGTTCAATACACAAAAAAAGCTTCTAACTTTTTTAAAATCAAAATTGTATTTATATTCAGAAACAGGAACACAAAAACTTCATGTTCATCGTCATAGAAAAACAAGTGGCTAAAGGGATCAAATCTTTTCTGAATTTGAGTTCATTTGAAAATCAATTTTTGAATTCCTAATTTTTGTTTTAACCTTCCAAAGCTTTATTTAAAAAATAAATAAATTAGTCCTTCTTAAGATTTTCAGCTACCATTCCTCTTTCTTTGAAAATTCAATTTTTAGTATTTTGAGCTCAAGTTTTGCACACATATTGAAAAAAATCCAATTTATTTTCAAGAAAATATCATATTTTTCAAGATCAAGAAGTATATTTATTTATTAACATTAAAAAAATAGAAAATTATAAAATAACCTGGAATCTTTTCATTTTTTTTTTTGAGAGCTCCGAGATAAATTTTACTTGAATAATTTTCATCATAAATTTATTTATTTAATTATTATTTTTTGGGATAAATAACAAAAAACTAAAATATACACTAATTTTTTTTTTAAAAAAAAGTTTTAGGAGGTCAAATTTGAAATTAAAAATTTAAATATTAATTTTTAAATAAATTAAAATTCAGGTAAAGGAACAAGGGCTACAACACTTCAACTTTTGTAATCTCCTCTTCTTACCTTTGTTATTAATTATTAATTAGTTGCCAAATTCTTCGAACATTTTGTAGTATCACTTGGCTATTACAAATCACAAGAGATCGAATTGCTGAATGGCGGAGTTTGGTGTGTGTGTGTGTGTATATACATACACTTTCAGGAATTTTTTTTATTATTGTGGACCAAAAGGGTAAACAATGTAATCATTTGTTTGTGAGAAACAATCGAACTCTTTAAAGTCAAATGCTTTTTATTAAACTATGAAAAGAACAATCTGTACTTTCTAAGCATAGCCCAGATTCTGATAGGGCTTGGTTAACTTGTAGAAGCAGAATTCAGAATTGGAGGCATGACTGCAACCACTTAACCATACAAAATTTGCAAGTGGAAGGGAAAACATCGATAAGTCAAGGAAATAGACATTCCATATCATGAAATGGGTAGCGTAATTCTGTCAAGTCCTATCAGAAAAAGGAAACAAAAAGCATGACTTTCCTGTTCTTGATAACTTGGATAACTAGCAAGGCTAACAACCACAAAGAGTGGTTCTTTGGACTTCAAACGATGGATCCGTTCCACTAACCTGTAAAATAAAGATCAATTATAGTTGGGTCTAAGCTCCATACATTCTTTAGGCCTCAGGCCCAAAGACACACGCCTTGCTCATCAAGATATCCTTTAAAAGGCCTCAGATTTTGCAAGTTTATCGTGCCAAACCATGCCCACCTTATAGCCCAATACAATGCATAAAAATTTTCTAGAGTCCAAAAACAAATCGTGTCATCTCAATAATGGGCCAGAGAAATATAGGGAAAACATTTATTAATTTTTAAAATGTGTGTCTTGGATTTGATTTTATTGTCTTTTTTAGACAAACTTTTTCCATAACAATATTGGAATTCTAAACCTTGTAAGGCAGCCTTGATTTTTCTCTCAATTAACAATCCTTGCCATATCTATAAATTTTTGAATGACGAATTTTCTTTTGTACGTGGATGATTATGATAAAAAAAAAAGAAAAAAAGAGAGAGAGACCGTAATAGGGCAATTGGCTTTCAATAGGAGCCATTGGATGTAATTTAAATCAATGGTTAGTGTTTTGTGTAAAATGTTTTGTTTTACACCGGAGTAAGTGGTCCATCCTCTTTTCTATTATATTATATGTGTTATCGTATTCGTTTTCATTTCATGCGACAGATATGCCCACTAGCTCTATAACATTTTGCAGGTAGTTTGTGTTCAATTTTGTCACCATTCGCAAGTTCAAACCGATGATCTCTTGATCTCAATCCAATGTTTTATTGTTTTTTTGAAAAATGTTTTATTAATCAATATTTTTTATTTGGAAACTTCGTATTTAAGACTGGTAAGAGAATTACGTTCAAGATAAAGAAGAAACGTTTAGAAATCTTGTATTACTTTTTTGAGTTTGGTCTCTCTCTTTTCTTTTTATCTTTTTTTTCCTTGAGATCAAAAAATTACAGGGTTCTTTAGGTTAAAAATAACTATTCTTTTGTTTTTTTTGTTGGGTTTTTTTCCCTATTTTTCTCGTCAAGAAACAGAGCATAATTCAATTTTAATTTACAATATTTTTATTAATTGATAAAGTGTGTGTTTTGAATTTTGTTTTACTCTTTTTTTGTGACAGACTTTCTCCATAACATCATTGGATTTCTAAACCATGTATGTTAGCTTTGATTTTTCTTTCACCAAACAATCATTGTCATATCTACGATTTTATGAATGATGATTTTTCTACTTTAGTTTTGTTCTATTTACTCTTCATAATGTTAATTTTCGGCTCCTATTGAAATAATTTCCTCACCTTAGTTTTGTTTTCTTAAACGATTCTTATACATTTAGTATTACAAATATATATGTTTCGTTAATATAAGTATTTTATTACTTATTTCCAGTTTATCATTCTCCAACCAAGTTTACCCATGGTTTATAAATAATCAATATTTCAACATGTGTTATTTGTTTTTTCTTTATATAATGAAAATTTATCGAATTCAATTTTATAGTAGTTTTTATTTTAATATATTAATTTTAAATTTATTTAATACACACACACATACTACACTCTATGAACTTACCGAGTATAGTCATAATGTATATATATAAAAAATAATGGATTATCGATTTTATTAGAAATTAACTATATATCTAAACACATAAAACTCGACCATTTACTATATATTATTTTTTTTCTTTTGGTATTTTAAATTTAGATTCTTTCAAATAAAATAATTAAAATAATAATTTAAAATAACCATTCAATGATTCAAATACATTTTTTAATGCTATATTATTGATTATTTTTTTATTCAATATATATACAAATTAAATATCCGTGCTTTAAAAAATAATCTTTTATTCAATATTAAATAAGAATAAAAATTCATATTTATATTTGTTACTTTTTAAATAAGTTTTTATATTAATTGTTGCTTTATTTTTTTTATACAATCTTATGGAAAATATGTTAAGTTGTTTTTTTTAATTCTAGATTAATTTTCTATTTAGATCGTTGTAGGTTCTTATTTAAGAATCAATGCCTACAAAATAACAAACTATGTTTTTTTTTTTTTAAATTGAAAATTTATGGAAAAAATAAGGAATAATCAATTAAATATAAGATTTTGATTCAAAAGTTATTATATTCTTTTTAAAGAAAATTTACCTTTGATTTGATATATTTTAATAGATTTACGAGTATAACATGAGGTATCAAACTGAGATGATTTGGTTCTGTTTGACCAATGAAGATAATGCGGGCAAGAAACTTGTGCCAACTAGATTTATAACAGCTTTTTGGTGCTCTATGGTCTAGCTTGGTTACCACTACATAAGTTAATTAACATTTTTAGAAGAAAAAACTAGTAGATTAACCTATTGGCCTAACAAAAACAATCTTTGTCACTTTTTTTTCCTTAATCTAAACAAAAATCAATTTCTTTTATTTTATAATTAAAAAGAGCTCAACCGAGTTCGAATCGATTACCTCCGGATTTGTAGTCAAATGCTCCGCCACTAAGTTGTGAACCTTTATTAATTTATAGTAAAACGTGTCTCCAATACTACAAGAGTATTCACTACTCTATACTTTTTCTACTTAAATCAAGCTACATGTATTAATTGAAAATCACATTAAAGTTGATATGTTTTATGTGATTTAGGAAAATTCAAAAAATATATCAACATGAAAATAAAAATCAAATCATCTATAATATATAACTAATGTGACTCGATTTAAATGGATAGAGCATATAGTGGTGGATACTAGAGTACTCGAGCTATTTCCGTAAAAGAATTGTATTGATGAATTGTGTGTCTCAATTATTTTTCCTCTCATTTTGAGAATGATATTCTATATAATCAACGTGAATTTTTAAACCATGTCTGTTAGCCTTGATTTTTCTTGCTACTAACAATCGTTGTCATAGCTAGCATTATTTTAATGATGAACTTTTCTTTTGAGACGGACTTTCTCTATAATAACATTAAATTTCTAAACCATGGACTTTTGTTAATGTTAATTTTCAGCTTTACCATATCAGTTAGTACATTCTTCAAATTGTGTATATTAAGAGAATCTTGATCTATGATGTAAAGGTTTTTTTACCTAAAATTTCATCAATCCCTCTCAAGCTTGTGTTCTTATTTTAATATTATAATTATAGAAGTTGTTTGATATCTTTTTTTTTTTTTATGTATTATACTTTTAAATTTAGGATTTTTGAAAATAAGATATGAATTTTTTTTTTTTGTTGTGTTTTTTAGAAAAATTAAAACTAGCAACAAGTTTTAAAAAGAATATGATTTACGTTACGATTATAGGGCTATTGGGTTTCATTACTATTTTTGTTTTTATTTTTTAAGTGTTTTTAAAAAAAATTAAAAAATTTATTTGATTGGCTATTTTATTATTTTTATTTTTCAAAAACTCGCATTTCAATCGGATATTAAAATTATTGAAATTTGATCCGTAAATGATACCTAGAATCCTCAAACTCGATCTTGGTCTTCACCCCGAGCGATCCAAACTTGGTCACATTCCAAACCCGACCTTGAACTACATCCCGAGGTGCCTCGACATTGGTCTTGGATTGCACCTTGGGCACCGTAGGTAAGGTTCTCGACCGACCCTAGGAGCTTGAGACTTTATCTTGGCCAAAACTCAAGCACCTTAGGCCCTATCTCAACCCAAACCATGAACACTCCCTACCAAGTCACTAACTTGTTAGGAAATGAATTCCGTAAGAAAATAAAGTATGAAGGCAAGAACAATCACATAACATAAGGATTTTACATGATTTAGCAATGATGCCTACTCCATGATTGCACTAGAAGTTCTTATTAGGTTTTATTAAGTGTTGATTATAAATATAAACGATGTTGTCTCCATTTATGGTCTTGACAACTAGGGTTATACAAAAAAGGCCTAACGATTTATACACCTAAGCTAATATTTTGTAGATCTTTCGAGGGTTTTGCCCCTAAGCCTCCGTAAGAGATGCTACCCATTGCCCCCCACTACCCGACATGTGTGTAGTGTACTATATTATGGGTCTCTATCCACATTAGTCTCTAAAACTTAACACAACTAACCCTCAAGCATTTAGACCCAGTCTTGAATCGATCCCCAAACTCCCTAGGTTCAATCCCAACCCGAACCCGAGAGCTTCAACTCCAGTCTTAGATCGACTATTAGGTGCCCTAGCCGTGGTTCTAGCTGAGCACCATATATGGTATCGGCTTGAAAAACATACCTATTCCCACCCAATCCATTAGCACCCTAGACCTAACTTGACACCTATATGCCCTAGAATCGATCTCGATCCGACCCCGAACACTTTGGACCATGACCTAAATTATCCATCGGGCATCGTAGACTTAACCATGGATAAACCCTTTTGCACCTTAAACTCGATCTTGGTTGAACCCTCGATGGTCCTAACTTAATTCCTAAACACCTTAGATTGTCTCTCGGTACCCCAAACCTAGTTCTAGGAAAAACCCGAACTTAATTCTAACCTAAACCCCAAACCCATCTTGCCTCGAATCCTAGACGAGTTCTTAACCTTAATCCTAAACCCGATACTAACTTGAATTTCAAACCATGTCGACCCTAAACCCGGTATTGGCCTAACACCTAGATGCATAGGAATCGATCTTAGCCCAACCTTTTAGTGCTCGAAATCTAGGCCAAGAGCAACTACGAGCATCTTGAACCTCGACTTAGGTCCTAGTCCAAAACCCGAGCGTGTTAGACCTAGTTGTGAGCCAACTTCTTAAAGCTATGGACTAAATCCTAGACCAACTTCGGTCGTTGTGGACTTGGTTTCGAGCAAACCCTAGTTGGGGCTCAAATCTTGGACTTACTCTTAGCGCAAACCCAAGACCTAGTCCCGACTTAAACCTCGGACCCCATTCTAGTTCAAACCCCGGATTCATTCCTAACCTTAATCTTAGACCAAGTCCTAGCACAATTCCTAGACTCGGTCTTGTGTCAAACCATAGGTACCTTGAACCTAGTTCTTGTCTAACACTCGGATGCCCTATAACTAATCTCAGCCTAACCCCTTAATGGCCTAGGCTAGTTTGTTTCAACATTTAGTATTACACAATTTATTTTATACCATATCTAAGTAGAGAAGTTAAAATGGACAATACCTGAATAGTAGAAAGGCATGGAGTGAATTTCACTCGAACCTCAACTTATGTCCCAATCCAAACCTCAAGCACTCCAACCCCGATCATGGATCAACTCTTGGATGCCACAAACTAGCTCCTAGATCGACTTTTGGTTGCCTTAGACTCGGTCCTATAAAGAATTCGACACCTTGAACTAACTCTCGGCTTGAACCTTAAGTGCCTTTTACCCGATCCCAACGTGAATCCCAAATGCTTCAAACCAAATCTTGAGCTTCTCGAACCATGTTTCGAACATAACCCTTAATGTGATCCATGTTCATTTTCTTACTTCGAGCCCGACTTGTCTTTCAAAATATATGGTGATATTGTAAAAAAAAAAAAGCTAGTTTTGAAAACTTTTGAAAACTACTTTTTTTTTCTAAAGTTTTCAAAACTTGGTGCCAATTTTATTTTATTTTTTTAAAACAAAAAATTCCTCATATCTTGTTTACAATTTTTTTTTTTAAATAGAATATTAAAATAATACCAGCTATCATAGTCGAGATTAAGAAGATTTTGTGATCTAGATTATGATAAAAGACTTTGTATTCTCTCAAGCATGAGATTTTCCTATTTAGTATTTGTGAAGGATCCAATGTCCTATTGTCTTTTAGTTACTTGTTTTTATATATGATTTGGACATTAAAAATTATTCCAATCAATATTTTCCTAGTTAAGAACCGACAATTAGGATTGTTTTATTACCTTACTTGTACTTGAAGAAGCTTAGGCCTTAGCATAATTATGAAAAGAGCTTTTACTCACTCGTAATTCTTTGGCCATTGCCCCATGACAAAAATTTTCAAATTATAATAAAAGTAAAAGAAAATGAAAAACCAATGTAGCACTCGCATTGTTCATTCACTCGTTCATCCTTTTTTTTTTTTTTTTTTTTTTTTTTTTTCTCTAGTTGTTGGCTTCCAACCTTTTACAACTTTTTTCTTTTTCTTTTTTTTTTTCTCGTTTGGATTGCTAGCTTTTAAGGAAATTGCTTTTTATTTTGGTCCCTTTTTTCTAATCTTTTTTTTATTTTGATCATTAAAGTTTTATTGTATTTAATTTTTTTCCCTATAATAAATATTAAAATTTTATTATATTTGATTTTTATTCTTATAATAAATATTTTTTCTTGGCTTTTAGTAAAAAGTTATGTTCTTTTTTTTATTCCTATTTTGTGATATTTTTTATTTTGGTCAATAAGTTTTATCATGTTTGATTTTTATCCTTACTATACTAAAACTAAATAAAATTTACTATCCTAAGCTTTTTTATTTTTATTTTTGGCTTTTAGTGAAACTTTTTTTCTATTATAATTCCTATTTTGTGGTTTTTTTCTTTATTTTCATCATTAAATTTAGTAGAATTTTTTTTTAGTCCCTATTTTGTTATTGTTTTTTTATTTTGATAATTAAATTTTTATTATATTTATTTTTTTCCTGCAAGAAAATATTTTTTTACTTTTAGTAAAACTTTTTGTTATATTTTGAATTTTGTTTTGTGATCTTTCATTTATTTTGATCATTAAATTTTTATTATATTTAATTATTATTCATTCTATACTAAAATTAAATACAGTTTAACTATTTTAAGTTTCTTTTTTGTTTTTATTAAAAAATATTTTCTGTTTTGATTCTTATTTTATTAATTTTTTTATTTTGGTCATTAAAATTCTATAATATTTTACTTTTGTTCCCGCCTTATGCATAATGAATTTCTTTTAAACTTATTGTTTATAAGTTTTTATTTTGAGTGAAAGTTTATTTATTTATTTATTTATTTTGATCATTTAATTTTTATCATGTATAATTTTATCTTTATTTTTTTTTCCAAATTCTTGATTTGACAAAGGTTTTTTGCCTTTTTTATTTTGAGTAGTTTTTCTATCTCATTAACAAATTACGGATGAATAATATATGGTAAAAATTAATCATCTAAAATTCAAAAAATTACCACGTTATTATTTTAATTATCAATTATTATACATATTTTAGTTATATCAAACAATATCTAATTAGCAACATTATATTATTCAACTTTACAAACTTTTTATTTAGCCAACCTCGCTGCAAATTATGAAATACATGCTTTAGTTTTTTTTTTTATTGAATTTTTTTTACATGATACCTTTGAATAATCATTTTTAAATTTAAATTTTATATGAATGAATATATAAAAATATTATATAGCTCCCCTCGCAGACAACACACGAGTTGTATGCTAGTTTTCTCTACAATATAATCTCCTTAGCATTTACTGTCATACATTTATTGTTTCTACTTTTACGCCTTATCTGTCTTTTCATGCTTTCTTTACAATTTTCTTTAATGTTTATTTATTTATTTATTTATATGCTTTCTTTATAAGCTTTCAATTTATTTATTGCTTATATATATATATAATGCAATTTAATGTTTTCTTTTATTTCTGACTAGCTTTTTGCTCGATGCAAGCTTCATAGTTTATTTAATTTTTTATTTATTTATCGATTTAATATTCATTGTTTATCAATTAATGTGAATTTCAATATTTCCTATTAGATTTAAACTTATTTATTTGATATTGATTCAGACCTTATGGTTTTCACGATCCATATAAACTCTATAGTTTATATATGAACCAAACTTTTATCGTAGATGCTCTATTTTGGACTTCTTAGTTTATTATCAACTCCACATTGTTATCCTTGATGTAAACCATGGGTGTTTGTATTCGGATTAATAATTTATCCATGCTCGTTTGAACTTGTTTTGCTTCCAGACCTTTATAGAATCCACAATCTTGTTCGATCACCAGGTAATTGTCGCCTCCTCACGAATTAAGGTCTAAGTAAAATATTTCATCGATCTTTTTAAAGGAAGAAATATATATAATTGAAGTACAGATATCAAAATAGAAATTTTTAAAATGGTTCATGGGTATGTGGTCCTTGAGTTAGACAATAAGAGTTAATCATTTACATAATAACCAAATAAATTAGAATTACTATTTAATATACAACTAATAGATTATGTTTATTTTTTAACAAAATAGAAATTTAATAAAAAAAAATAGATACTCTCTCCGTTTCAAATATATATATATATTTTTTTGTCCTAAAATGATTCTCTTGGTCAAAATATTAAATTTGTATTTTCTTATTTAAATCCATTTTGCAAGAGACCTACAATTGAAATGAGTATATTTTGAAAAACTGTAAACAAAAAATTGTAATGCATCACGTTAATTTATGAATTTTTTTATATTTACTAAAAATCAAATATGACAATTTTTTTTTCAAACATCAGAAGTATTAAATATGAGGTTGTCTAACTTTATTTTATTTTTTTCTATATGTTTTTATTACCTTAATTTACTACAACCCACTGGACTTAACATCTTTAATTTTCCGCCATCGGATGAAAAGGTAGAGAAACGAAATGATTTTGAAGGAAAGCCAAAAAGTGGTTGTTAGGTTGGCACAATAATTAGCTCCTCCGTGGCCTTAATTTTTTGTCCGCTTGTCCAACTTTATATCTCCCACAGACTATCCAAAAATTTCACTGACACGTAGTTTTAATACTTTTTTTTTTTTAATATCCTCCAACGACAAGGATTTTATCTGATTATTTCAAATACTAATCGAAACTAACCTTTTAAAAAAATAATTTTAAATATATTATTTCATTTCGATTTGATGTATCAAAAAAAAAATAAATTCAAAACTTATAACTATTAAGAATTAACTAATAATGTACCTTATATGCGAAAAAATAAGAATTAATTATAAGTTATGGTGAAAATAAGAGATTATTGATAGAAAATGAATCAATTAAAACATAAAATACAAAAACAATAACAATCACATTAAATAAAATTTATGTAATTCGTAATTTATCTGCTCCATAATTGCATTATGTATTTTTATTAATGTTTTTAATCAATTATAAATATCAATACAAAAGATAATATTTATATTTATAAAATGAATAACTAAAATTATAATAAAAAACTCAATAGATTTATACGATTGATTGAAGATTTCGTAGATCGCTATACTAGGTATATGTAGTATATGTAGTGCAATAAACTACAGATCGCGTTCGTTTTCACATCTTAAAAAAAACGCACACGTGTATGTATATTGAACAAAGGAACTTTTAAAGGTTATGTCTATCATTTATTTGGAGGAAGCTAATCGCTATATCTATCATGATAAAAGTAACGCACAAGCTTTGCCACCTACGTGCATTCAAGGAAAGACAGTCATAATAGCAAACGAAATTAAGATGACACGTGAGTAGCAAATCAAGATAAAGATCAAACTTTTCCACGGGCTTGGGCCCAGTTAGAAGATGATATTATTTCTTGAAGCAGTACATAGAGGATGATCCAGACACATCGAACCTTGGTACGTAAATGTTACAAGTTCATAAATAAATAAATAGTTTGCAATATGCTTTGTCTTTATGACTTGCCTGTGAAGAAAAGA